AATGCAAAAAGATGTGAGGATCACAGACTCATTAGCCTGATGAGTCACACTTTAAAGATATTCTTAAAAATACTACATCAAAGATTATACAAAAAATGTGAAAGGGACATCAGTGATTCCCAGTTCGGGTTTAGGCAAGGTTTAGGAACACGAGAAGCAATAGTAGCAACACAGGTACTGGTCCAAAATTGTTACGATCAGAGGAAGGATGTGTTCCTATGCTTTTTAGATTACAAAAAAGCGTTTGATCGTGTCCAACACCACAAGTTAATGCAGATTCTCAAGAAAGTTGATATAGACCAAAAAGACATAAGATGCATTGAAAACTTGTACTGGCATCAAACGGCACAGCTAAAAATAGACAATTCTATATCTAAGCCCATACATATAAGAAGAGGCGTTCGACAGGGATGTGTGCTTTCCCCTCTTTTATTTAACATTTATTCAGAAGCCATATTTCAAGAGTCTTTGGAGGATGCAGAGATGGGAATCAAGGTGAATGGAGTATTGATCAACAACATACGATATGCTGATGATGGTGTCTTAATTTGTGACAACATAGTCGATCTTCAACAACTTGTCACTATAATCGGAGAATACAGTGAGCGAATGGGACTAGAGATTAATACCAAAAAGACCAAATTCATGATCATCTCCAGAAACTTGGATGCATTTGAAAACTCCACCATAACACTGAATAGTAAATCCATAGAAAGAGTGAGTAAATTTAAATACCTAGTAAGTAAAATGTCGCATTGAGCAAGCTCGACAAGCTTTCGTAAAATTCAAGAAGGTACTGACTTGTTCTGAGTTCGATCTTCAACTGAGACTAAGGTTTACTAAGTGCTACGTATGGTCAGTGCTGCTATATGGCGTAGAGGGCTGGACACTCAAAACGAGAGATATAAACAGATTGGAAGCTTTCGAAATGTGGCTTTATCGCCGTATCCTAAAAATACCATGGACAGCGAAAATCACAAATATAGATGTCCTTAAAAGAATAAACCAAGAACGCCAACTTTTCGAAACCATCAAGAAAAGGAAAACGGCGTATCTAGGTCACATCATGCGAAATGAAAAATACCAGTTCCTCCAACTTATAATCGAGGGTAAAATTGAAGGCAAGAGAGGAATGGGACGCAAGAAAATGTCCTGGCTCCGAAACATAAGGCAATGGACAGGGATTAACGACATACAATATCTGATACATATTGCAAGAAATAGAGAGTTAATGGAAAATGTGATCGCTAACATCCATTAGTGGATTTGCATCTGAAGAAGAAGAAGTTTAAAAACAAATACCTTTCTCAAAGCTTCATACTATGGTTGTAAATGCCAGCCAACAGTTCGATCATAACTTACTGCCTAACTAACTGAACAATATTAATGTTTTTTTTTTTAAATACACGTCTTTTGCTGTGTTGCTATTTATGTGTATAAAAGTAAGTATTTACTGAAGTTAACAGTTAAACTTCAAACACCAGCAAGTAGCGCTACCACCTGACTTGACAATGGCAAGTGCGACCTTGCCGAAACGTCAAAATATTGGATATTTATATATCCATAATGGATATGTATATATATATATATATATATATATATATATATATATATATATATATATATATACCTATATTGTCTCACCACTGCTTTGTACGTTTCCTCGAATTGTCTTACATATTTTCCAACTAATACCTACATTACCGAGAAGTTGTTCGAAGCCGATGTTGATAAATGTTCTTTGGAAGAAACCCTATGTCCCTACTTACTTCCCTTTCTCCCTTTTATAGTATTGATCGAGCGGTGATAATTGTTTACTGTCGATTACAACCTTTATGACTGCAGGCTCTATATTTGATGCGATCTAACGCTTCTATAATTTTAGTAACTGTTTTACATACCTGATTTTTTTCCACAATAAACACATGTATATGCTCCTGATATGTTAGCTCTTTTATTTAAACTGAGGTGTCTAAGTATACTAATCTTCCTTTTATATAAATCATATGTTTTGATTATAAATTCAATACGTTCTTTTTAAGAGGTGATGCTCATGCTCACCCTACCGCCTATACTTTCGCTCCAGAGTAGTGTGGACTTCAGGTCCCATCTCTATCTTCCACGGCATACTCGGCACTACTCTTATCGTGTGTAAATTCGAGTATGTCGCTTTTTTCTATATCCTTTTTGTTCAGTTCCTTTTGTTATTTAGTTTTGCCTATTTGTAGCACCTCTCATATTCTACATTATTTTTTATAATTTCCGTGATTGTGCTTACAATTATATTAAAGTATTATTTGCTAGCTATGGCTTTTTTTATTATGTTTTCTGGTGTGATCCTACCTTTTTTTCCAGCTCTTCCCTTTTTAATGACTGAATTGACTTCATGAAAACGCAACGTTCTGCATCATTCTCAATCCTACGCATTACGCAACGATCATCATTTCCGTCAAAAATTGTGTGAAATAAAAGTTGATATGCCTAAATTTTCAGCTTATCCAGGGCTCTATGTTAGAGATGAGCGACCTCCTCCAATTTGCTTTAATTCTTTGTTCGGACCACTCTCTTCTCCACTGTCACATACTATTTTTCTGCTTTCGTCCCTGATCTTCTTTATATCCCCATTCTCTTATTTTACATAGTTACCCTCTTCTTTACCATTAACTGTTTTGATACAAATAACAAATCAATTATATCCTGCTATCACTTGTACATAAATTATTGAGATTATCCAATATGCGCTTACTACCTTTAGTAGTGTTTTTCTTTGTGCGCTTGTCATCATTTCTATGTACTTTTTTTCTTTAGTAGTTACACAGCTCCTAGAATAAATTCAATACTAGATTTATCAATGAAACTCGATAACGAAGTGTATCTATTATACTTTATTTGTTTGCAACTGTCAGCTCATTACAAACGCAAACAATAGCTAAAGTGGCCCAACTTAAATCACACAAAATAATATCCTCTCTTATTGAAATGTAGTTTCAGATCTTATTTTTCATATAGTCTATGTTTATACGTCCATGGTCTATCCTGTTCCTACCAATACTTTTGAATTTTCGTTTAGCCTTCGTTTTGAATTTTCGTTTATCATTCAGTGTAAAGACGATTTTTTAAAACATCATAGTGTTACAATAAATGTGACTCATATTTAACCTGTAAACATTTTATTATTCTAACAAGTATTTTTTAGTAGGTTTCCCTCCGATAAAAACCTGCCTGCTCTCGATGGGATTCGAGAGAGTTCAGGGAGATCAATGTCCGCTTCGAGGGGACTCCAGAATCGCGAATATTATATATATATATATATATATATAATATATATATATATATATATATATATTGAATCGAGTTTGAATTGTAACGAGGGAATAAATAGTGTCAATGTGAAATAAATTAGTGTAATATTGTATATATAAATTAAATAAAGACTTTAATAAACTACGTGTTAGAACATGTTTATAATACATAAAGTTAATAAATTAGACTTATACAATTCATTAGAAACGATGAGGAATCGTAACAAATCTCATATGATAAAATCATCTAGTGTAAAGTCGACATAAGTTTAGTAGCAACAAATTGAAACTATTAGCTATTTGCATTTCTAATGAGCTGCCAGTTACAAACAGATAGGGTATAATATATCATCTTTTTGATACCAAAAATGGTAGGTATACCTACATACTTATTATTAGCTATTAACTAAAATTTTGAGGGTATACAAGGCAACTATCGAACACGGTGATTAATTTAATCTTGCCCAAGTACTTTCGATCAATAGATCATCTTCAGGGGCATTTCGTCAGATGATGATTAGAAGATGATCTATTGATCGAAAGTACTTGGGCAAGATTAACTTAATCACCGTGTTCGATAGTTGCCTTGTATACCCTCAAAGTTTAATTATTCGAACATTTAACCTTATATTGATGTATTAACTAAAAGCCTACAAAGTATCCGAAGAAAAAAATGGAAACAGAAGTGCTATAATTAAAAAATAAAAACGATTTTACGGAACAAGCACTGGATGACGATTGGAAGAAATGAAAAACAGAGGTGCACAAATTATTGGAGATTAAAAAAAAATGTAAAAGCGAAATTAGCTAGAAAGTGATTAAATATATATTTAATAGCCATAAAATATAAAATAAGTAGTGCTTTAACGACCACATAACATAGGTACAAAATATTGTAAGTAATTTGTGAAGAACACAGCACAGACCAGCAGGCACAGAATAATAAAACAATTATTATTTACATTGTGTGTGCTGTGATTAAAAAACAAACAATTATTCTAAAATCTAGATTATTCACCTTAAAATAAGCCATGTCGTATACTAGATATTGCAATATATAAGATTATTAGGTGTATCCAAGGCACAGAATAATAAACAATCAGAATGTCCACTCTCAGATGCCACCTTTGAAATTTTTCAGCACGCGGGCCATGTTTTAGAAGGAAACACATAACACAGACATATGATTTGTGAGGTTATGTAATTGTTTATATTTATGTTTAATTCTATTATATTTATGTTATTATATTTAACAATGTTAATATAATTGTATAGTATATCTATGATTGCCGTAAGTCAATTAAACCGGGTTAATTTTGTCTATACACACCACATAAACAACACTGGTTCCCTCTAAAACATGGCGGAACGTCTGCGCGAAGGAGATGCGCGTACTTAATTTTCCATGGAAAGTGGGCATTCTGATTGTTCATTATTCTGTGTCCAAGGTATAATTTATTATGTTATTACTAATAAAAGCCTTTTTTAATTTTGAAATAATATATTAATAATTTTACAGAAAAAATTTTATTGGTCAGTCAATTGTTTAAATTATAATAATAAAATTACTTTACTTTTTATAAAAATATTCAAATTTCAGGCACATTTTATTAAGCATTTAGATTTACCTTTAATACAGACTAATGACATGTGTTAATCTGTTGTCACTTGTCTAACTTTTTTGTATTCGTGACGTTGACGTCTTTCAGCATCTTGTCAAAAGTTGTGGAGCGTTTTTCGGTTTTTTAATTTTTTTAAAGTATCCAATTAAAAGACTTTTATCCCGAATCCAAACTGTTTTAACCACTTATACTATTGTTTTTCCATTCATACGTACTATTTACTTTTACCACACTATTAAACCTACTTAACCATAATTCGTTTTTTGTTTGCAAACATAACTCCTAGTTCCTTGCAAGTTTCTTCAAATAAATTACAAATGAAATTAATTTAAATTTATTTTAATCGCTTGTATTTTAAAATCTGCCTAATAATGTCAAAGAGACATGCTGAAGAGGCGGCTAGCGGGAGCCAGCCACCTATTAAAAAAATTCACTTTGAGCCTCATTTGATTGGACCGGTTTCGACGCTGGAAGAAATGGATATCAAAGTTCTCCAATTTCAGAACAAGAAGCTAGCGCAGGTAATATAGCATTTGGTATAATTATGTTTCTTTTTTAACATTAATTCAAAAGGTATTCATAGATTACTAATTGTATGTCATGCTCTTGTACTAGATTTAATTTACTTTTTATAGTCCTCTCTTTCATGTTTTGTAATAAATATTTTCTATAAATCCACCTAGAAATGCGTACATTTACATTTTGTCTGTTCAATTTTTTGTTTTACTGCTTTCATCTGGTGATTAGTCTTATTATTATCAGGACTCTGACTTCTGTCTCTGTGTGTTGATGCTATAGTTTTTTCCGCTTCTGCTTTTAGATTAACCTCTTATTTCACATTCTCTTATATCAACAACTAAAAGTTACCTGTTTTGGATATGTTAGTATCCCCAATTTACTTGTGCTCTCTTAGTTTCTTGTTTCATATTTGTATATTGTGTACATCATAGTGGATGTTGTGTCTTGATTATTATAGATATTTAATTGAGTGATTGTTGCACCCCATGATAGTCTAGATTCTCGTTGATGAATATTCCAAATTATTTACAGTTGTTATATTTTTCTGGTTCCAATCGTCTTATATTTGTTTCATCTATGGGGATCGTCATATTATATTAAATATTTTTTGATGAGTTTATTGATTTATGTATTTTACTGTTGGAGAAAACTCCCATATCTTCTACTTTGGTAGAAAAAAATTCAAAGTTCAAAGTTTTTTACATGCCAGTAACTCCAAAAGTCTAATATTCGTTGATTGTAATACATTTTTTTATAATTTCATTATACTACTATACTCAGTAATTAATTGGCACACACAGAAATAGAACTTGTGTTTGTTGCCTCAAGGCTACATATATATTTTTCTGGATGTTCTGAATGTGAATAGGCACTCATCTGAGAGGAACTCTTATTGTTCTATTAAGCTGGGGACACATATTGTATATTTTTCTGGAATTTTTTCTCTTAAATTGTCTTATGACAAATGGCATCTTTGACATGTCTTTCAGTTTAGAATGGTTGTTGCTTCTCTTTTAATGCTGTTGATTCTTTATTTTTGTTATCATAACCATAGCTGATACTTTTAGTATATATGTAAATATACATGGATCAAGCAGTCTGTAGAGCTAAGTGACAACACCATCTTTTTTTGTTGTTGTTTGATCTGTCTCACTCTTAAAAATAGTAAAGCTGTGACAGTATCTTTTAGGCGTCTTTTAAGTATGGAGAAGTAGACATATGAGGTTAAGTGATGGTTTACAGTTACAGGTTGCATTGTAGTTGTGTATTATTCCACTTACATATAAACAAAACCACTTGCAAATGCAACCACAAACTATGCAAGTTATAAAGCTTTGTGGAGTTCAGTTTATGGACCACAGATTTTTCAATCAGTATAGGTATAAATCAGTTCAAAGAGCTTTTGTGTTTTATTCGTTTCTATGACAAAACGACAAGATCCGAGAGACACAAAAAAGATAAACTGGCTGCTATACGGGATATATGGGATCAAGTACTGGGAAATTTGAAAAAGTATAATTTGTCAGGTCGAAATATAACAAACAATAAAAAAATATATAACAGTTCAAACAACATATTACCTCAAAACCCTACAAGTATGGAATGAAAATATGGTTTGGCAGGTGAATCAGAAACTTTTTATCCTCTAAATGCGATTCCATATCTCGGCAAAGCAGGTAACCAAGTAGCTACTGGTTTGGGACGTAAAGTGGTAGAATCACTAAACAAATCTTATTACCGAATCAACAGGAACGTAACATTTGATAACTATTTTACGGACTTAGATATGGCTTATAATATGCTATCTAATGGTTTAACAATTGTTGGCACAGTTGAAAAAAATAAAAAGTTTATTCCTCCTGAGTTTAGGTAACATTGATATTATAAGTGCCTAAGCCTATGAAAAGTATGATAGTGTTGTAAACAATGCATTACTCGAATGAGATGAGAGAGGAGATGAACCATAAACCAGAGATTATTGTCAACTATAATAAAACAAAAGGTGGATTTGACTCGCTTGACCAGATGGGCATCAATATATGTGCGAACATAGAACAAACCATTGGACTTTCACATATTTTATGAATATGTTAGATGTATGCTGTCTAGCATCTTTTTTTTTTGGATTGACCTGCATCCAAACTGGAACATGAAAAGACACGAAAAAAGATGTCTATTCTAAAAGGGCAAATCTTGGCAAGAAGCAAAACAATTGGTGAAACACAGAAAAGCACAGAGAACATTCATCAAAAGCTAGAATCACCTCCCTTGACACCTAACGGTAGAAGAGGAACAATAATGTATGTATGTGACTGTTGTGTTTTGAAATGAACAATGAGATAATAGAATTCACATTATTTTTAAGAATAATTTATTTTTACAAGGAAACAAAATGTCAGGAGTAAGTACATTAACGAAAAAGAAGACTGGTTTAGAAATAAATGAGAAAATATTATGCACATTCTTACTTTAATTCTAAATTAATATCAAACTATACTCGTGTATAAACTGATGAATAACTTTTTTATTACAGAGAATTGAGCAAAGATGTAGAACAGAACAAGAGCTGAGGCAAAGAATTGAACAACTTGAAAAAAGACAGACCCAAGATGATGCTATGCTCAATGTCGTCAACAGATATTGGAACCAACTTAATGAAGACATTAGAATTTTACTACAAAGATTCGATGCTGAAACGGCAGACGAATCTGAAACTAAAAGTACAATTTAAATATCTTAATTATATCCAGTTGAAATACTTATACAATATTATTTTCAGATGAAAACGAAGCCACAACTTCCTTCTTGATGCAACTATCTACTTGGGATAAGGATGAATTAAATGACAAACTCGCCAATAGGGTGCAGGTTTCAAGAAGAGCAGTAGCAAAAGTCATTCAAGCCTTTGATAGATTAATGCAAAGAAATGAAAAAATAACTTTAGCCCTCAAAGGAGAGTTAGAAGGCCGTAAGTATATAAAAGTTTATTTATTTATTTAGTTTGTTCTCTCATTTACAATTGCATGTATCTAATGGTACATCTGGAATGTATCATCATATACATTCTACTGAATTGTGTACCATTGTAACTTTCTGTCTGTTGTGTCATGTTTTTCTTCATCAAGGCATCTTGTATGATAATAAAACACTGAAAACTTTGTTTTCGAAACTTACACAAAATTTATTATAATATTTTATCACTTCAGCTGTGCCTTTCTCAAGTGATCTATTTTTGGTAAGCGTTCTGTTTGTGTGACTCTACATAATTCATTATCCTATCCTACACAACTATACAATTTTGAGATTAAATATCATTAAGCAAATAGCAGTAAACAATGGGTACAACGAACAAACAATTAATAAAATTTTAAATCAAAAACTACACAAGAAAGCCCTGATATTAGTATTTCCACCGCTAGAGAAAAAAACCCAGTACTTTCTGCTTGATTACATATACAGGCAAGATATCAACAACAATACTGAAACACGCAAAAAAGAAAGGAATAATACCAGCCTATTAGAACAAACAACAACTTAAACAGGTATATTAAAAACAACAAGAGCCAAAATAAAATGCACTTACACAGTGGTGTATACAAACTTAAATGTGGCGACTGCCCAAAAACTTAAATCAGTCAAACTGGTAGATATTTTAACACACATATAGCAGAACATAAAAGAGCTTTCAATAATAGAAAAACAGATTCTATGTACACACTTCACCTTCTATATCATAATCATTCTCTTAATGACTAATTTCAAATTTTCACATCCAAAATAAAGGCCTTAAGCTATTTTTATTAGAATCTATGTAAATTAACAAATTAAAAAACACAGACATAATTTTAAATGACCAACTTGAGACAGACAGTTCTCCCCTCCTCAACCTATTCAGTTGAAGACTATAAAGTGTAAACACAAACCAAAAATAGATCACTTGAAAAAGTCACTCTGCTGAAACAGCTGTATTTATTTATTTATTTACTTATTAACAGGATAGAACCCAATTTAATATATACACAAAGTATTACAAGTATTATCTAGTGATACAATAATTATAAAGATATAGTAAATATGTTTGAAAAGAATTTGACGATGCAGCTATATAAAAAAAAACAAATATTAAAATTATATAAAGCACATAGCAAATATAAATCACATAAAATTACAAAAAAAAATTTTTAAACACATTCTACAGACATTTTCCGAAGCGCACAGCAACAAATCAAAGTCTATTCTATTTCCATTTAGAATGATTCTACTCAGTGGAGAATGCCTACCAAAGTTAGAGCGATGAAATTTAATTGCAAAATTTTGAGATGTTCTAGTAACTCTAGAGGGAACATTAAAGTCAATTAGAGACAGTAGATCATTGCAATTAATTTTTGAATTCAGTAGTTTATGAAGAAATAAAACATCAGCATACATCCGTCTGGAAGATAGCCCAGGAAGGCTTAATGTATTTCTAATTTCTGAGTAGGAATGGTCGCTTAAAGGTTTGTGTAATTTAAAACTTAAGTACCTAATGAATTTATTTTGGACTTTTTCAAGCTTGGCTATATGGACTTCATAAGTGGGTGACCAAACGACTGAGCAATACTCAAGAACAGATCTAACTAGGGAAACATATATCAGTCTGATGGAATTAATGTTATGCAAACATCTAGAGGTTCTAATAATGAAGCCTAACATTTTAAATGCCTGGTTATTCACATAATCAAAATGAGCGCAAAAATTTAGTTTGGAATCTAATTGAACACCTATATCTCTTACAGTTGAGACAGCTGAGACTAATAAAGTGACATTTTCCAACATTAATGCTCATTTGGTTCCAATTGCACCATGCCATAATTTTGTTAATATCAATTTGGAGTTTTTCACAATCTGAGATGTCTTTGATTATTCTATAGATTTTTAAATCATCAACAAATAGCAAAAATGTAGAGTTAATTGAGATTTAATGTCATTAACAAATATATTAAAAAGGAAAGGCCCTAAGTGGCTTCTTTGTGGAACACCAGATGTTACAGAGATCTCACTAGATTGAAAGTGTTTAAGGCTGTTTTCGCAGTTATAGCATACTGCGATTTGAAGTGGGCGTATCACTTACTTTTCTACACTGCTATGTCAGACCCTACGTGACTTCCTAATAGTTTGGATGTTTATTCAGTGGCGCCGGCCCACGGGTTGTTTAAAATAAATGCATTATTCTCCATTCAAATTAGTTTTGTCGGAATACTTTTTTTTAGATTAATTATCGTAGATAATGTTTTAAAAAGAATTAATCACATTTTTAATTTATATGTCTTAGCTAAACATAGTATTAAATAAAAATTTGTGAAACGTGACTGCAAAAAACACCATGGTGTTTATTTATAATAAATTTAAATTTTGTTATATTAATATTAATATATAATTAATATTTTGTTAATATTTGTTAGAGAAAACTGATATTAGCGTAGTAAAAATTAAACAAAAAATATTTTTATTTATCTATAAAAAATTGGTACCTGCGAAACCATCATAATAGTAAATGTATTTATCTGGCAAGTATTTCGAGGCGACGCACTGCGAGGAAAAAGTTCTCTGAATGGAATATACATTATTTTAATATATTTATAGGTTGCAGTTACATAAGAAAAGTATCCAATTGATGAATAAAACACAAATCGTGGATAGTTATTTCATCATATCAGTCAGAAGGCTTCTTCGGAACAATCTTCCATTCGCCCCTGCCTCTGGCAACTTTCTCCATGCTTTAACTCCGATGGATTTTAGATCATCCTCTATGTTATCTTGATACCTAAGTTTTGGTCTTCCTCTGGATCGTCTTCCCACTGGTCCTCTTCGGTCGAAAATTTTTCTGATCGTTTCATCTTCATCTCGCCTAATTACATGTCCTATCCATCAAAGGCGTACTAATTTAATAAATTTTACAACGTCAGGTACTACACCTGAAGAAGCATCGTAGTTTACTTTATACGATCTTTTTGACCAAGCACCATCAGCTATAACGGTTATTAACTCATTTCCGTCGGAATCTACTTCACCAATTTCTTTGGCTAAAGCTAATTCCTCCCGTCCAGCCTCTTCTAAGGAATCACAAAGTGTTTGGCCAACGATATCTGCAACTGTTTCCGTATGTTTTGCATACTGCCTGTAGGAAATCACAGGTATATTTAATGCAGCGTGCTGCTGCTGTATGTCTGAATAACCAGAACCATTCAAGTTCAGTGAATTGTTACCAGAATCTCCATATTAGAAGAGTTGCATGAAAATGGAGAATGATTATTCAAACCTTGAATATATATATATATATATATATATATATATATATATATATATATATATATATATATATATATGACATTTAAAAGTCAATGTACTTATCAATCCGCCCATTTTTTCTTTGATAATCTCCATATTAGAAAAGTTGCATGAAAATGGAGAATGATTATTCAAACCTTGAAAAGATATATATATATATATATATATATATATAATATATATATATATATATATATATAATTAAATAAAAGCTTTTAAAAACGGTTGTAATATAAATAATAAATACTAAAGCAGTGCAATTGCTTTCCTTTTCCTTGACATAGGACGTTTACTGGGACTCATTTTTTATCTTGTCTCTTATAACTTATATCACTAACCTAATGTAATACTTAAAAATACACGTAAACTAAAGAACTTTTAACTTATACCACTAAACTAATAATATATTACTTAACATACACGTAAACTAAATAATTTCAATGTTTTCAAAATAAATAAGAATACTGTAAACTGTAAAAACTAAGCAAGTTGATAAAGAAAATACAAGAATGAAAGAACTAAAGTGGATTCTAATTCAAGCGAACTAACTGACCGTACCCATAGAGAAATAAAAATAAGACCATACCGTACGCTCATGTGATTTGACGTCACCAATGCGATAACGATCAAGCTCAGCGACAATGATGAGGAACACGTTTCACTATTAGATTTCAGTATTTTTTAGCAATTTTCTTCAAAGTTTGAATACGCTTTTCTCGATTATTACTGGACACAGAAAGGTGGAAAAAGAATCAACGATTACAGAAAAAAAAACTCTTTCAACTGATGGGCGTGAAAAGTTTGGTTATAATAGAACGTTAAACAGTATAATCCAATTTTTCAACAGAAAATTTAAAAAAATAAAAAAAGTAAAACCATCAGTTTAAAGGCAACATAATTTCGTATAACATGTCCAAATTTCGAGACATTTCGTCGGTAAATAACAGAGAAAAAATTTTGGTGCACCGATAAAACAGCCTTAATTTTAACAAGTTGTATTCTGCTAGTTAGGTAACTACATAATCAGTTATACATATTGCCTGTAAATCCAATAGTTTTAAGCTTGTTACACAACAATTTATGATTCACAGTGTCAAATGCTTTGGAGAAATCTGTATAAATAGCATTCACCTGTAGTCTCCTTTCCAAAGCATCATATATGTATTGCGTGAAAAGTAAAAGATTTGTAGAAGTTGATCTACCTGAAAGAAAACCATGTTGCTCTTCAATTAGTACATTGCATAAAGGTGTTGCAGTGCTTTATTGTTATATAAAATGAATTTCCATCAAATTAGGGTCGAATCCATCACTCATCTTATATGCCTTGATTTCCTAATTCTTCCGCGTCTCCATATCCCATTTGGTTTCTATGCGTCATTTGTTTGGGAAGTTCTGTATCAGGCATTCTTTGTAATTGCTGAACCATATTAACTGTTTGTCTTTTATTTCATAGGGTATTGTGTATCTTACTTTCACGATCCCTCTGAATCTTTAATTGTCTTTAAACTTTACTTGACGTGTTTCTCTGTTGTATCAACTATGAAATAGCATTTACTCGAGTAAAACACACAGAAACTCTAACACAACATGGTATAGACCATAACACTGTAGCACTTGGTTAAAAAACTATATTGGAATCAAATGGCGTCGATCAAAATAGACAATCGTCTGACAGCAGAATTGGCAATAAAAAGAGGAGTTCGTCAGCGCTGTGTACTTTCCCCACTGTTAATAATTATTCCGAAAAGATATTTTACAATGCCCTCGAAAATATTGAAGAAGGAATAAAAATCAACGGAGAATACGTAAACAACTTAAAATACGCAAAAGAAACCGTCATTATTGCGGACAGTGCTAAGGGTTTACAACATTTTGAATGCCATAACCAGAGAGGGAGATAACTTGGGACTAAATATAAACACAAATAAAACAAAAGTAATGGCTGTTACATGTGCACCAAATGTCGACATTAATATTCGTATCTATAACAAACATATATAACCAGTACAAAGATTCCAGTATCTTTGTTGCTGGATAACAAACGATCTCAACCACGAGGTCGAAATACGTGCTCATATAGAATATGCTAGGTCCGCATTTCAACGAATGAAAAAATTGCTAATAAACTGTACGTTATCGTTGGATATCCGATGCCAATTTGTAAAAACGTTTATTTATTTCATATTGCTATACGGAGTGGAAACATGGACTTTCGGAATTACAAGTATGAGGCGTATAGAAACCTTTGAGATGTGGGTTTTTCGAAGGATGCTGATGATCTCTTGGACAGAGCATGTGACCAACAACTAAGGTGCTAAGAAGAATGGGTACTGAGAGAGAACAGAAACACGAGTTATCTAGGACATATTTACAGAGGAAAAAAATACAACTTCCTACAACTTATAATGGAAGGGAAAGTGGAAGGAAGAAGAGGTCCAGGAAGAAAAAAATGCTTTTGGTTGAAGAATGTAAGAGACTGGACAGGCATTGACACACATTCGATACTAAGAACAGCTCAAGATAGAGAGCAATTTGCTGTGGTGATAGCCAACCTTCAGTAATGGAGAAGGCACCTTAAGAAGAAGATACTTTACTTGCCTGCTGCTCTTCTGCAAAAGACCATTTTGGTTACTTGTACCATTTGTTTATATACATTTCTAAGGTGCTATACTTCTGTCGCCTTGGGGTGATAATTGATTGTAAACTAGCATTTCGTAAGCATCTAGAGGTAACAGTAAACAGTGCATTTAAACAATTAGGGTTTATAACTAGAAACACTTCTCAATTTTCATTTTTTGTTTTACCAATTCTTTTTAATAGTCTCATTCGCTCCAGACTAGAATATGCAATAGTTGTATGGGGACCTTACTATCAAACATCTATAGACAAGCTTGATCGTGTTCAGCATAAATTTGGTAAACACTATCATTACTGTAGTGCTTTTCATGACCTCTCATCACTTGAAAATGGTTTCAATGAATCGGCGAAAAGATTATTTTTGCCCAATATTCCTTTACAAAATTGTTAATAATTGATAAATTGCCCTGAGCTTTTAAATTGATTAGGTCTTAACACTCTTCATAGAACTAGGCATACTTCATTATTTCATCTACATTTCATCAATTTAATTATGAATACTTCAAGCCTCTTACTCATATGGTGAGACTATATAATAGGTACCAAAGTGATCTGGACTTATTTTTCCAGTCCTTAGAACAATTTAAAAATGTGATAAAGAGACTGCTATTTGTGTGATATAGTTTATATTCAAGTAAATTATTAGTTTTTGTTAAACTTACTAATTATTTTCCAATGTTATGCTTACTTTGTAAAATTTTATATATTATATTATTGTTCCAATGTAAATAGTATATCCGTAATAAATAAATAAATTAAGGGTTAAAAACACCTTAATTTAGGCCGGACGCTCTGTATAATTGTAACTTGTCTTGAAAAAGACAAAGTACACAAAAGGTTTATAAGAAACAAGGGTTTCTTATAAACACAACTACTAAGGTTGAAATAAAACTACAAAGTTGTTGTAGAAATAAAACTCAGCCACAGAATCTGAAGATGAAGCAGAGCGCCCTAAAGCGCTATGCTCTAGGAGAGCCTGTGAAGGACTGACTGGCTGACCTGAAAATCACCTATATTTATCTGTGCTGTACAGCTAATAGAAAAATTCGAGGCTGAGCGATGCGCATAGTAGTGCGTACTAGTCCTCAGACTATGGCACTCGATGACACTTCTGAGCTATATGTTGTTATTATGTTTTTTTACAATGGTGTTATATATCCTCATTTTATTTTCTTTGCTTATCTTTTTATTCCATTGTCTCAATGCAATAGTGCTATCACTTTTCTTCCTTGAATATTTCTGTCTAGTAGCTTCATCTAGTGTTCCATTACATCTAAGTTAAATTCTCAGGATTTATATTCTCTATAATTTTGTATTTCCATTCCATTATTTGGAATATTTCTTCATTGTCCTCCTATCCACATATACTGTTTTTTTACTTACTTCTAATCCCCATTTTCCCTTATGTGTTTCCTTTACATTGTTTATCTTTGGTTTTCAGTTCTGAAGCGAGGCTGTATATTGGTTGTTTTGACAATGCTTATTTCACTTGACACTTCAATTATATTGAGTAAAAGAATTAATATTTTTGCACTGGTTTATTTTACTTTTAATTACTTTATTTTTAGAGGAGATACCAAATCTAGACGAAGCAATTCGTCAGACTAACATACAGCTCCAAGCCGAAAATAGAAATCTTCAAGCACTACACACTACCCTACACGAAAAATACCACACTCTAAGCCTAAAAGTAAGTGAACTGCAGGATACCGTGACAGCAAAAGAAACCGAGAATGCAGAATTTAAAAATCAAATTGATGATTTGCAATACGAACTGGAGAAAGTGAGGAATAGAAATGATAAATTGGAAACTCATCTTGCTGAGGTAAGGCATCGATTTTTTTAACTATTAGTATCACGAGTAGTAAATGGAATAATACTATTTAAATAATGTTTTTAATGTATTGTAATGGGGTTAATATGATTCTTTAAAGTACATATTTAAAAATTGTAATTAATTTTATGGTCTCATACACCCATCAAATGCATTGTATCTCAAATCACGTCAAAAAGTACTTAGCAAATGTAATAAAATAGACTAAGCGATTTTAGAAGGTAGCACAAATGCTACAATCAGGAACATGTCAATATCCCCAAGTATGAACAAGCTGAGAACATGACTTAAATGATAACGGAAATGACACTTTGATACCGATATTAAATTGAAAATCACGCACATATTTTTTAGGCTAAAGCTATTCATAGAGCTAGACAACTAAAGAGGTATAACCCTGTTAACAACTGCTTACTACAAAATTCTAGCAAATATTCTCTACGAAAGGCTACAAGTTTACACAGTTAGCATAGTTGGAAAACACCAGGCCGTGGTTACTCCAGAAAAATCAACAATTGACCAAATTCATTCAATAAGACAGATCCTCGAGAAAATATTAGAATTCAACATTGAAACTCGTCACCTATTCCTCGACTTCCAGCTTGCATACGACGGACAGTGATCAGTATATCAATCAATGAGTGAGTTTGGTATACCAAAAAAACTTATCCGATTAACGAGAGTGACAATGTCTGACTCAAAAGCCAGCGTTAAGCTGGATTTATAGTTTGACGGACTGTAAACGTAGACGTACTGGGAAAAGATCAACATAGAATTTTCTGTATAATCGTTTTCATCGTTCTTGGCGTGTGCGTGTAAAAACACTTGCAATAAGTTGTTTCATCTGTCTTTCCTTGTCTAAGCTCGATTCGTTTACCTCCTCCAGTGGCGGAGCAAAATGTAGCATGTCAAACGAAATAATAGTTATAAAAGAAAATTATAAATTATTTTTCATTAAATTTCTAATAACGGAATATACGTATAAATTGCGAAGAAGTATTTTTCTAGCTTGCAGTACAATAGGACAGGATATAACGAAAAGTACATTTTAAAAGGATTTTGAAATATACCCAAAAAAGTGTTATTTATTTAACCCGCTTTAATTAAAAAATGATACAGATTTTTTTAAGTTTTAAGCACTGTAGCGAATTCTGAACTGTTACAACGTACTGACCTTGATTAATTAGCTAATCAGTCAGCGTCTTCACTGGAACTGTCTTCATCATTGGAATCTTCCGCCAAATCGATGATAATCCTACTTTCATTTTCATCATATGTGACCATTTTTGCCCAGTCGTCCTGAATTAATTTTTCAGTATGGTTTACACAACTCGCCCACACTGCAGGTGTTGCCTCAGCTAATGCATCGCCCCAAACTTTTTTCACTGTTTCATCTCCACGTCCATGTTCTCCAATATGACGATCATAGTATTGTTTAGAAATGCCCCAGTCCAATTCAATCGGATTATATTGACAGTGATATGGAGGCAATCTCAAAACCTGATGTCCATGTTCTTTGAGTAGCTCGTCTATAACGTACCTGGTATTTTGTGGTTTATTCTGGCGACAAAGACTCAATAGCTCTGTCTTGCCCGAATCATCGTCAAAAATTATTTTTTTCGCTCGTAACCATTCTTGTAAGTCGGATTTTTTCCAACTGGCATTCGGTAACTTTTCTATTAAAGAGCTAATGTATGAGTCATTATCCATAATAATTAGAGATGGTTCCTCCAACATTGGTATCAGCTTTTCGGAGACCCACTTTTTAAAAGACTCTTTATCCATAGAATCATGATAGTCTGCACTCTTCGATTTCGTAGAAAACAGTAATCCAGCATCTTTAACAAATCCTTGCCTACTTCCGGCATGTAAAACAACAAAGCGTTTACCTATATTTTCGTGTCCTTTTCTGATGCTTTTCACACAGTCATCTTGCCAAGTACGTTTATACGCCCCTTTTAGGAAAATCCATGTTTCATCTTAAAAAAACGAACTGAAGTGGGCTTGGACTTTAAAAATTTCTCATATAATGCCTCAAAAAATACAGTCGTTTGGAGACAATACATGGTTTCTCACATAGCACTCGTCTACTATTTTCTAGTCTGTATGAAAACCCACAATTTTTCATAAGACGTCACAACGTACAGAACGTTAAGATGCTGTTCAATTGTGTATTTAGAACTTTAATTGTAACGTGCTCTCCTTTTGCTTTCATGTCATACAGTACATTTCTAATCTCTCCTTTTATAGTATCGCTGACATCATTAGTCTTTTTTTGTACATTACGTGATTCTCCTGATGTAGTAAGAGCTGCCCCTGTCTTGTATTCACTATTTATTCTTGTCACTGTGCGAAGACTGATTTTCAAAGGTCCGTTGTTTTCTTTTTCTTTTTTAAAATACTCCAATAAATGAACTACAGATTGTCGCATTTCTCCTGGTATCGTTTTCCCCGGCATTTTCTTTATTAAATAGAACAATTAGTTATTCACAACAAAAAATAATAAGTAAAACTGTTCGGAACAAATTGCAACAATGACTGACTAAAATCGACTAAAACAACATAAACTATCAATGGTAATTGCTACAGTTATAAACCTATTAGCCAGCTCGTTCAAGAACAATGCTACAAGTCATTATTGCAATGGGTATCGGAAGAGAGAGTTAATTTATAATAAACTGGAATTTTTAAGGTGTCGAGAATATTATTTTATGTAATGGAATTCCACACAGTAAAAGCTCAAACTATTATTTAATTAAAAACTGTTTACTTATAAAAACTATTTCATCAGCTACTTCAAACCTGCACAGACCAGGGTAACATGTTAAAAAAAAACGTCACTGCTAGCTATCTGTATTCGTAAAGAGGCCGAACTTATCACCGACACCGTATCGGCCAAACGCATCGGTGTTATTGCTACAATACTGGGAGACGTGAGTGGTCTCTTCATTCCCTTCTCATCGCACTTTACCATGACGAACGTGACTCGGACAATTGAATTACGCATCTGTGTATCAGAGAGAGACGAATATTAAAAATTCCGTAGTAGCTTATTTCAGGCACACGCCAAGAACGATGAAAACGAGTATACTCTTATTTATAAATGAACGTTAACGCATGACGGAACGTAAGTGAAACGAACTGAATCGGAAGAGTTGTCCAACTTTCATCTTTTACAGTGCGTTACTTGCGTTTTGCCAATCAAAAGGAAGAATTTTGTGCTGTCAACCAAAGTGAACTGTCCGGCTCGCTCTCTATTTTGTAAAGTTGTTTATCAACATATTCGAATTTTGTTGATGATTTGTTACAATGGACAGTACGTTAATAATTTATAAAATATTAATATATAATAAAAGGATTTAGTACAATTTCATGATTTCAGATAAATATGAGTTGTTAATTAGCCTTATTCGGGGTTATCCACACATATACGATAAATCCGGTAAACATTTTAAGGACCAGGAAACCAAGGCACCAAGGAGCATACCTTCGTGTATTTCATAATCCATTGTAACATGCAAAACCGATAAATATTATAATAAACAATAGTATAAATTAATAAACGCACACAGTTTATTTATGATTCGCATAATTTATAGGTTATATTGATGTCGGTTAATGTAACTCATTCATGGACACCAACTCCAGCCACTGTTTCTACTCATGCGCAAAAATTCCACCCCATCGCTTTATAAATTGGCATAATATTTACAGTCCGTTTGTTATGTCTCCAGTGCGTCTACGTTTACAGTCTGTCAAACTATAAATCCAGATTTATTTCCAGTCCATATTTTTATAAATCCAGTCTCCTATTTAACATTGCATTGGAAAAAGCAGTCCGAGATACACGAATCAGAGACGGCGGTACTATTTACAATCTTCTTCTTTACGTGCTATCTCCGTGACGGAGGTTGGCAATCATCATGGCGATTCTGATCTTAGATGCTGCTGCTCTGAATAGTTCAATTGATGTGCATCCGTACCATTCCCTCAAGTTACACAACCATGAGATTCTTCTTCTTCCTACACTTCTCTTGCCCTGGATTTTCCCTTGTATAATCAATTGAAGTAGGTTGTATCTCTCATTACACATAACATGCCCCAGGTATTGTAGCTTTCGTGTCTTGATGGTTTCCAATACTTCCATTCTTTTGTTGATTCTTCTCATGACTTCGTTGTTTGTTATATGCTCGGTCCATGATATCTTCAGGACTCTTCTATACACCCACATTTCAAAGGCTTCCAACTTTTTAGCAGTCGACGCGTTAAGTGTCCATGCTTCCATCCCATAAAGCAGAGTCGAGAAAATATAACACCTTGCTAGCCTAACTCTCAAGTCCAATTTTAGTTCTCTTGTACAAAGTACCTTTCTCATTTTATTGAAGTTTGTATGTGCATTCTCTATTCGAACTTTGATTTCTTTGGAGTAATCGTTTGTGTGATTAATTATTGTGCCAACATAGTGTTAGTTTTCAACTTGTTCTAAAGCACTACCGTTAATTGTCAGGCTTTCACCATTATTTTGGGTTTTTGATACCCTCATAAATTTGGTTTTCTTGGTGTTTATTGGTAATCCATATTCTTCTCCATACTCAACTATCTTGTTCATTAGCTTTTGGAGGTCTTGTAGGTTGTCTGCTATTATGATAGTATCGTCCGCATATCTAATGTTGTTAATTGGTGTTCCATTGACCTTGATTCCTACTGCTTCTCCCTCAAGAGCTCTTTTCATAATTTCTTCAGAGTATGCATTAAATAGTAGTGGTGACAATATACACCCCTGTCGCACTCCTCTTTTAACTTCGAATTCTTCTGATGTGTGTTCATTAATGCGTACGTGTGCCTGCTGTTTATAATATAGATTTGTTATAATTCGAAGATCATTGGGTTGTAGTTGTTTTGCTTTGCGGATGTCCATTAACTCTTTGTGGCGGACTTTGTCGAAAGCTTTGTTGTAATCTATGAAACATACGTACATATCTTGGTTCACATCCAAGCATCTCTAGATTAGTACGTTGAATGCAAAGAGAGCTTCACGGGTACCTAAGCCATTACGGAATCCGAATTGAGTTTCTTCAATATCCATATCAAGTGTTTTGTAAATGCGTTTATGAATGATCTTTAAAAACAATTTAAGTGTGTGAGACATCAGGCTATGGTACGGTGGTCGGCGCATTCTCTAGCATTTTTTTTGGGAGACAAATGAATGTTGAGGTCAACCATTCGTTGGGTATGTCACCCGATTGATAAATTTCATTAAAAAGCTTTAAGAGGACATCAATGTATTCATTTTCTATTATTTTAAGGATATCAATAGGCAGTTGATCTGGCCTCGGGCTTTTTCCGTTTCTGTTGTTCTTCACACAATTTCTACACTTGTTTCTCTGTCCTCAAAAGACAAGTCTTGTAGGTTTCCTCTTTCGTCGTCGAAGAGCTCTTCCATATACTCTTCCCATCGTTTTAGTTTTTCGTCAGTCGTTATCATAGTGTTTCCATTTTTATCTAAAAGAGTTGTGTTGTGGTTTTTTTTGTAGCCCTTCCATTTCTTTAACCTTTTTATGTATGTTGAATAGGTCGTATTTGTTCTGAAGATCATCTATCTCTTTACATTTTTCCTCATAGTAAGTTTGTTTTGTCTCTCTTTATTTACTATACTTTACTTACTATTTACAATAGATCGATACAAATCTTAGCATACGCTGATGACATTGACATAATAGGGCTTAGCAAGCGAGATGTTGAACAATATTTCCTAGAATTGGAAACGGCGCCGGAACAGGTCGGTATAGTCATTAACGAAGACAAATCCAAGTACATGTTGGTTACTATGATAGCAAATGAGGAACGGGAAACAGTATTGGAAGTCATATCTTTGAACGTGTTGACAGCTTCACATACCTTGGCTCGCTAGTGACTCCTATCAATAAAACAAGCAAAGAAATTAAAAGACGAATAAACCTTACAAATAGGGCATACTATTGACTCCAAAAACAATTCCACTTAAGAAATATCCAAATAAAAAAAACTAAAATTATTATGTACAAAATACTGCAGAGGCTGGTCCTCACATACGGGGCGGAAACATGGACTGTAACGCAGAACAATGAAAGACTTTTGGGAATATTCGAGCGTAAGATATTCCGCAAAATATTTGGAGCTATAAACAGTTAAGGGCAGTGGCGCAAAAGGATTAATTTCGAATTATACCATTCCTTTAACGCACCAGACGTCGTAACGTCTTAGATGGACCGAGCACATAATACGAATGCCTGAGAATATGATTGTTAAAATGATAACGACAGGACTAAAACGCTATAGGAAGAAGAAGCAGATGTTGACCGTGAATTAGGTAGTTAGATGGAGTTGAGATCGACTTAGAGATACTAAGTCGATCTTAGATCAGAAGATGGCATCACGTTGCCAGAAACTGAACAGAATGGCGACTAATCTTAGAGCATACCAGGATCCACAGAGGATTGTCGAGCCAAAGATGATGATGATATTCATAGAGCGCTCGAGGATAGAGATTGATAATAAATTACATAACAGTAAACGAAAAATTACAAAACCAGAAGATGCTCGAGTATATCGAGATACAAAACTAAATGGAAACGACATAAACAGAATGGATGAAAATCGACTAGCTAAACAATTGCCTCTAAACTATGGAATGAAGAAGAAAAATGCTTCAATAATTTGTGAATAAAAGTGTAGAACATCATATTAACCTAAAACCATTGATTAAATTTTTTTTTAGTTCCTTTTATTTCCTTTTACAAAAAAAATATCCGTCTTACTTCCGTTTTCAGGCCGTGGAAAAGCTCAAAGCCTACCATCAGCTGCACGGAGATCCAGCCGACAAGTCCGGAAAGGAACAAAAACCCGCTCCGCAAACTAGCGTATCACAAGCTAAATTGGAAGATTTAATTAAAGAAGTCGAAGAATGGAAGGAGCTGGCCAATAACAGACTGCAAGAATTAGACAAACTACACCAGACTCACAGAGAAACTCTGAAAGAAGTAGAGAAATTGAAGATGGACGTAAGTTGTAAACATCTATAACTTTTTATGTTGCTAACATTTACAAATTTTTAGATTCGACAACTTCCTGAAAGTGTTATTGTTGAGACTACAGAATACAAGTGTCTGCAGTCTCAGTTTTCTGTTTTATATAACGAATCTATGCAATTGAAAACTCAGTTAGATGAAGCTCGACAGCAGCTACAGACTAGTAAAAATGCGCATTTAAGGAATATAGAAATGATGGAGGTAAGTCCAATACTTTATTTACTCGTATACTTACAAATCGTTTAATGTTTTCTAAACTTTAATGTTATTTTTGATTATGCATTTATATCTTATAATTTAAAAGTATAAACTATACTAGAAGTCGATAATCTCCTAAATTTTCAGCTTTGTGTCATTTGATTCACTGGGTCAGTATTTGTATCGAACTTTTGTTGAGTCTATTTGAAGCCAGATCAAATTGGTAAAGAAAAAAAAGCATAAGCTAAAGGTATCAGAGTCTTCTGAAATAGTAGGTGAAGAAATAATGAATTGATAAGATGTTATAAATATATAGATGGTGATGAATGAGTGGAAAGCTCAGAGATTTACAAAGACTCTAATTTCTAAGTACCGTGGATTTGTGATATTCGAAGCTAATTTGTTGGATATTCGGACCAGCGTGAGAGTTTTCCCTTTTACCGTTTTCTCTGAAGACATACTCAACACATTTTTAAAGAATACTTTTTTTTTCTTTCACGTACACTCTAATATATACAAACTTACATCTATTTCTAGGTCACGATCTTGAATGTATTGTTTTGCTGAGTTTTGATTATGTAAGTGTGTTTTTGTAGTAAGCGGGACAACAAACAATTCTTTCTAACGAAATAGTTATGTAAGATTCCTTGTCCCCGATAAGGGAGAGATGCGTGCATACTTAACAGATTAAGTTGCTTTTCGTATTGTAACGAAATAGCGTACCTCCGGCGGACCATGTATCCCATTTCTTAGGCCCATGACTTCAGAAGTTACAATTGCCGGCGTTAGCAGCTAGACAAATCGACGAGAAATTCGAAAATGTTTCTAGACGATTCCGATGGGCCAAGAAAAATGTTACCAGACCTAGAACGACTAGAAAAACGCGATAAAGATGGCTATCTACAATAGGTCTACAGAGCACAAATAAGAAATATAATTCAACGAGCAAGTGAGAACTGGTTTATCCAGAGGCACCAGACAACCTTTTCGAAGAAATTGTTGTAGACACCTTCGTCAGTAGGTTGAAAGACAGTGAACTACAGAAATATTTACAACTAGCCAGACCGAAAGTTTTAGATGAAGCGCTCGCTATTGCCTTGAAACACGAAACAGCTAGTCAAACTTCACCGAGCTTTCGAGTACGAACTACTGAAGAATGCGACGAACAAAAAAAAAATAAACTCCACTAGAAAACTAAATTCCTGTAGCCTGGCTGTATACCATATATCACAAAAAAGTTATTTAAAAATTCCTTTATAATATATACCTTTTATAAAGAAATTTTTGAATAATTTTTTTAAATGAACGTTTGGAGGAAACGGTATGGAAAGTAGTTCGTAACACGATGCCGAAGAGACGCGAACGCGGGACTGGAAGAGCTCATTCAAATACTGATGCTCTTTCGAGACAGCCATTTGGTGCAAATTATAAGCACTGTCTTCAATTAGATGAACGATGTTGTCCCGTAAGACGAAATATCGTCATTAATGATCAATGGCAGCCTCATTCAGATGGAATTGTCGAGAGGATGAACCGAACGATGGGTAAAAATCTGTCCAAAGTTGTATCCGAACATCAAAGAGATTGGGACCAGTACATTAATTTATTACTAAAGGCCTATCGCTCGGCTGTGAATGAAACTAAAGGGGTAAACTGTAGATCTTCCGAAGAACATGCGACCACCTGAAGTTAAGAATGAACAACTTTCATGAACTTGCCGGACAACACATGATTCTCAATGCAAGAATGAAAGCTTTGAAGTAGGCTAAGAGGCTTGTCTCCTAAGCTGCAATGACAATGGGGTCAGTATGAATCTAAAAAGAGAATAAATTACGTAATATACAAAATTAAGAAGTTGCCAAACGTTGTTCATATAAATTGTCTTGCACCATATGCTGGCTCAAATGAAATGGAAGAAGGACGAGTCCTTCAACATTAGATCAAAAATCACCGACGATCAAGATTTAATGAATTTATATCAAATAACGCAGACAGAAAGAGTGCTAGATTCGGCGTGACCACAGAAGTTCAGCAGGATCTGTTTAGTGTTCCGGAAAACGTCTCTCTAGCTCACTGTGTTGCCCAAGACCTGGAGGTGATTAAAGAAATCTTGTCCGTATTCAATAAGAAGTTCGGTCGCTCGGACGAGTTAAAAAATAAGCAGCCTAAAGTTGGAAGAGTACGAGTAGAAGATGGTCCTTGATCTTTGCTGTATATGGCTACCATGAAGTCTTATACAGACAGGGCAAGCTACGAGGACATATGGCGTTCTCTAAATAATTTAAAGAAAATTTTGTGCAATTATGATATCAAGAACTTGGCCTTATTAAAGATAGGCCATGCACTAGAAAATCTAGATTGGAAAATTAACAGAAGCATGCTTGAAATAATCTTCCGAGAAACAGGCGTACGAATTACTGTGTGTTATTAATCCGAAGATATCGTGTCCTTTATAGACAGTAGATTGTTATTTATTCATGAGGGGTTTATGCAGAACTGGAGAGTCCTGTAGATTTAGCCATCCTGGGCCTTCATGTAAAGTTGCTAATCGGGATATTCAGATCTAAGAGAGGAGCAGTGTAGTCAAATAGCGGACCTCCGATGGATTACGTGTCACAATTTTCAGAAGGATGACTCCAGAGCATGCCATTGTCAGCATTAGCGATAGAAGCTTTGCATTCGAGAAGGTAGAATAGAGATGAGCTGATCGAGAATATTCTCGATGTAAATACTTTCGGTACGGAGCGCTCTAGTGAGTTAGTTGGTAAGATAATATCGTACTGTTAATTTTTTCATAAATAGTTTTAAATAAATTAGAACTGCTCATTTTATTTTAAACACGCTATAATATTGTTTTCTTTCTGAAAAGGTATTATAAATGAATTATATATTATGTACTTGATTACATTGGGCTCCACTGGACATTGGGCACATGATTAAAATCTTATCTTAATTAAATATTTAACCAACTTATTTCTGTCTGGTCAGTAAAACACTCACAAAAAAAAATAAAATAGAAGTGAAGTAATTTAAATTTTATTTAATTATTACATTAACACACACTTAGAAGTAGAGACGATGCTTACACAGACAATTCTTTATACCTCAAAGTAACTTTGGATAGATCTTTAACATATAAGCACCGTTGTCATAATACAAGACAAAGTCGCCACCAGAAACACTTTTCTATAATATCACAACGTCGTCTGCAAATTTAACGGATTAGTATAAAGTCCTGTTCTATTCGGAGATGTTCTATTCTGGAGTCCCGGTATATCTCACCCGGAGTTTCAAACTTCTCTGGTGGTTTGCCGTTTACTCGAACTCTATATATTATTTTACTGATCATTCTTTTGACTATTCTCTTATCTTTTTATCCATGCCTGACCTATTTAGAGCGTTATAAATTTCCATTATTTTTATTATAGACTTTTCAATAGGGACTTCCGAACTTTGACAGTGGCGGCCATATTTTTGAAGCTACTTCTGACAACTTCAGTTTTTTTTTGTCATTTCTTCAGTTTTTTTTGTCCGTGAGAATTTGCAGCAGAATCCAAGGCAGTCGATTTCGCTGTTCTCCCAAGAACTCGGCCTTTCACAGACCAAAACTTTACGAATTTTGCGTCGTGACATGACGCTAAAAGTAAACGACCATAGACAACGACGTGTGTTTGCTGAAATGACCCTATTATTCATGTAGAAGTCTGTCTAAAGTTTCGATATCTCACACACAATTTGCTTAATTTAAATGACCAGAAAACGGGCTACCGTATAGTTTTCATATTCTTATATTTTGTGTTGACAAAAATGTACAACAAAAATAGTTTTCTGTCCTTTAATTATTACATATTTCCCCTAACTCTACTTTCTTTCGTAGGGAGAAGAACTGATTGCTCAAAAGAAGTTGCGACAAGAAGTGATGCAACTTGAAGACTTCCTGGCACAACTTAGAAAGGAATACGAAATGTTGAGGATAGAATTCGAACAGAACTTAGCGGCCAACGAACAGACCGGTCCTATAAATCGAGAAATGAGGCATTTGATAACCTCGCTGCAGAATAACACACAACAGTTGAAGGGAGAAGTACACAGGTTTGTTTACTTTTTTTATATATTACATATTTGTACTTTTAAATTATGTCAATTATATATTTCTTATTTAGACATAGACAATATTATCTCTAAACTTAAACTTCCAGAATCCTAATTATAAATTTAGTGAAACATTGAGCAATAACCTTCAATTAATCACTCAAAAGTTATAGTAGAAGGCTGGGCTGTCTTGGTTTCGACTAGGTCTCTCAGATATACGTTCTTGTCTTAATATAAAATTCACAATGAATAGTTTCAGTAATATTTTTAAACGTGGTTGTACCTGCTTTTGCGAATATATTGCAAAATAAAGAAATATGTATAATTATAAAATTTAGAATGATAGGACAAGGGCAAAAACATTTATACACGATGAAAATGATAAATTACTAAAGCATACACGTACACCATTCGAAAACCACGTGGGTATATAAGTTAGATTTAAAAAAAATCTAAAATAAAAAAGCAACAAATAAAGGCTTTCTTTAACCAGACACTTAATATAGAAGAAGAAAACCTGAAAGGCGAAAAAGATGAGGTAAGTGGAATAGACGAGAGGGAAGAGGAACCACCAACGATTCTTGAAGTTAAAGATGCAGTTAAAAACTAGCCAGAAACAAATCACCCGGAATAGATAATCTCCCAGCTGAACTATATAAAGAAGGTGGCCATGATACCATAATGTCATTATAGCAGCTTATAAATGAAATATGGACACAAAAATCTCTAATCTCTCCCCAATGATTTTAATATTGGAATTCTTTGCACCATACCCAAAAAAGGAGATATCTTTGAATGCTCTAACCACAGAGGAATTACGCTTCCAAATTCAGCGTATAAAATATTTTCCCCTACTATGTCACCGTATGGCGCCATATGCAGAACGGATAGTAGGAAAGTACTAGGCTGGTTTCAGAGATGGTAAATTAAGAATTCATCAAATTGCAACCCTGAAACAAATTTTGGAGAAAACACTGGAATATGACATTGATACTCATCACATATTTATCGACTACAAAGCAGCCTACGACTCCATGAATAGAAGAAAAATGTTCAAAGCAATAAAAGAGCTAGGAATACCAAATCAGTTGGTAAATTTAACAAAACTAACTCTTGAAAAAGTATAACGTAGAGTACGAATTCGGGGGAACTGTCTGAACCGCTTAAAACAAATAACGGGCTGCGCCAGGGAGATCCTCTCTCCTGTATACTGTTCAATCTGGCTGTGGAAAAATTAATACGTATGTCACAAATCACAACCACTGGTTCGATATAAAATAAATTAGTGCAAATCGTGGCCTATACTGATGATATCAATATCGTTGGGAGAACGGAAAACGCTGTGTGAGAGGCGTACGTAGCATTAAAAGAATTAGCTACAAAAAATGGGTTTAATAAGAAACACCAACAAAACGAAGTATATGAAAATAAGCACGCAACCACAAATCCTTCGAACACTTGTTAAGAAAACGACGTCATCGAAGCAGTGAAGAATTTGTATACTTGGTAGTGCTCATTAACACTAAAAATAATACTACCGCAGAGATAAACCGCAACATTTTCACGGCCAACAGATGCTATTTTGGGCTCAATCTCCTCCTTAAATCCACAGTTATATCGAGAAATACAAAAATAAAACTCTACAAAACAATAATACGCCAAGTCCTAACATATGGTTTAGAAACCTGGACTAAACACTTGAAGAAAAGTACTAAGGGAAATCTATGGAGCAGTGAATGACATTGGAGTGTGGATAAGACGATACAACTTCGAACTTTATAAAATATATCAGGAACCTGATATCATAAAACATATTATTAAGATAGAACATCTGAGGTGGATAGGGCATGTAATTCGGATGGAACATGCATGGGCGGATGAGCATGAAATGACCCAGCTAGAAAAACGCTCCTTTACACACCCATTGGTCAGAGAAGAAAAGGAAAACCCAGAACAAGGTTCCTTGATAACATTGATGAAGACATGAGAAATATGGGAATACGTGCTTGGCGAAGAAATGCGATGGATAGGGACGACTGGAGAGAAATTCTTGAGGCTAGGACCCACGCAGGGCTGTAAAGCCAGAATGATGATGATGATGATGAAAATAAAAATTGAAAGAATTTATTCGAAAAACAAATATGTGTAAGAAACATAAAATTATTATCAAAAATAGTTACTACTATTATTATCTAGGGCAACTATTATTAAAGTTATTTGAATGACTACTGGCAAAAGTATGCAGACATGCTAGATTTTGAACTACTACGCCTTGAACTAAAAGCAGAGAACTACGAAAAATTCGTAGATGTACTCAAAAATGTGTCTAGAAAAACTATCCCTAGAGGATGTAGACAACAATATGTTCCCGGGATGTCCAGCGAGTCCCAAAGAACTAATGAGAACATAAGAAACCCTCTATTCCACTGACCCTTTTAGCCAAGAAACGGTTGACTGCGGAACAATACTACTCCAACAGCCAAGTCAAGCCAGACAGGAAAAGTGGATTGAGTCCCTGGAAAAAATGGACATGACACATAGTAGCAAAATAGCATGGAACCTTGTAAAAAAACTCAGCGGTGATCCAAAAGAATATAAACCACCTTGCAAGGTTACAGCAAACCAAGTCGCTGCTCAACTCCTTACGAATGGAAGAACTACTAACCGATATAAGGACCCAAACACCAGGAGTAGATTGCATTCGGAGACAAACCACCTAGGAACTCCTTTTACACTAAAAGAACTCCACGACGGTCTGAACAGGTTAAAAATGGGAAAGCTGTAGGTGTGGATGATATATGCAGTGAACAAATAAAGCATTTAGGCCAAGGAGCAAAAAACTTAATCTTGCAATTTTATAACAAGTGCTGCAAAACCTGAAAAATTCCAAAATCATGGAGGAAATCTAAAGTAATAGCCTTGTTAAAACCAGGAAAGGATCCAAAAAACCCCAGTAGCTACAGACCTATTTCGCTATTTTGTCACTTTTTTAAACTATACGAAAAACTCATACTCGCCAGAATAGAAAAAAATGTCGACAAGCACCTCATCCCACAACAAGGAGGATTCAGACCTGGCAAATCTTGCACCGGTCAAGTCCTCGCATTAACAGAATACATTGAAAAGGGCTTTGAAGAAAAACTTATAACAGGGGCTGCTTTTGTAGATCTGACAGCAGCCTATGATACAGTAAGGCACAAAACATTGCTCCGCAAATTATACGACACTCTCAATGACCACCATCTGGGAAAGGTCGTATATTCCTTACTGCAAAATATACGTTTTTTCGTTATGCTGGAGGGTAAAGTAACTAGGTGGAGACTTCAAAAAAACGTCCTCCCACAGTAAAATCAAACATGGCAAAATGGGGAAAAATAGACCAAGATGATGTGAACAGTGACTGTGGAGAAACACAGAATATGGAACATCTTCTTACATGCAGAAACTGTCCTCATCGATGTACCCTTGAAGATTTGTGGCTCGCCAACAAAGATGGAACCGACGTAGCCCGATACTGGGCCGAAATTTTATAATGACATGTCCGGACACGATAAAGTAAAGTAATTATTTGAATGACTACAGAAAATAAACTATTTTAATCGAAAAGATTTATTTAAATAGCACCATTGTCAATCCTAATTTCTACTTTTTAAACTATTTTAATCGAAAAGATTTATTTAAATAGCACCATTGTCAATCCTAATTTCTACTTTTTACCAGAAGTGGGGAAGAGATACATTATTGAGAAGCTATCACCAATACGCAATAACAGGACAGAAGCTATAAGGGGGACGGGGGATGTACACAAGGATTACATAAAGAGTAAAGTGTAAAAGAAAACACAAAGTTAATAAACGATTGAAATATAATGAAATAGGAATAAAATAATTATTTAAAGACTAAGTAATTTTTGTAATGTTACAAAAGTATACTCGTGAATGTTATTTCTGAGTACTAGAGCGTAAAAGAATTATTGGGACACGGTATATGTTAACAGTTCTTTCACTCAATATAAAAAATCGGATTACATTAAACATAGGCAATAAAAGGTAGACAGTTCTTTAGGATAAAAAAAATTCAAATTTATATTTGGGTTTCTATGGTCAGTTTTTATAACATGTTTTTTATGACAAAGAAATAAGTTAAATATAATATTAATACAGCTTTGTATTACAATCTGTTTTGTAAATTGAGTCTGTTCAGTCTTTGTTTGTGTATTTTATATAAAACTAGTTTTCGTGATATCGTTTTAATTTTGTTTTTGTTGGTGGCATGTTCCGGATTGTTCAAGTATCTATAAAAAATAATAGGAGAGTTTTTTCTTTGTGTTTTACTAATTTAACTAACTATGTTTCTATAAATAATAATGAGTGTTTTTTTAGAGCTATAGAATTTTGAAATGGAAAAAAACAAAAATGATTTTTTTAAATTGACATGAAATTGACTCTATTTAAAAGATAATCTTTTGGCATTATAATTTAAATATGATTTCTGCATGGACGTATAAATAAGAACGTCCATCGATTTCTGACATATGACCTCTGGCTCTGACGTAGTCTAATCTAGAGATCCAATTTTCGATGGCTTTTTCCAATATTTGCAGCCGTATATCGACAATAACGCGGCGCATGTTGTTTTCCAAGTGGTCAATCGTTTCAGGTCACATCCCCACAGAAAATAGTCTGGTGGTGTTATTTGCACGATCTTGGACGGCAATTTACGGGTCCAAAACGAGAAACTATGCGGTTACCAAACGTTTCCTTCAATAAATCAATTGTGGCACGAGCTGTGTGACATGTTGCGCCGTCGTGTTGAAAGCAAAGCTCCTAATTTTTCAATTGAGGAATGAAAAAGTCAGTTATCATGGCTCTATAGCGGTCACCATTGACTGTAACGTTCTGACCAGCATCTTTTTTGTTAACATATCCAACTGCTGTGCACGATGGCGGATAGACTGTTTCGGGTCTTCCTCTATGCTATGCTACGCTCTATTATTCAACATTTCTCTCGTTCCTTCAATATGTTTAATCTCACCTTTTATTAAAATGTCTAACAAAGCTTCAAAGCTATACTTTGATACAGACAAAAGTCATTACCAGATTTCTTCAAATTATTTTCCTTCGTAAAGTTCAATTTTTCATTCCAACAACGAAGAGACTCTTATAGTGCTTTTATAAGCCCATATAGTGCCCATTTTTGCTTGGTTTTTCGTTTTCCGTTTTTCTTTCCCCATTGAGTTAAGTTTCTAAGAGGTAAAAGAACTTACCCAAATGAATTGCATATATTGCTTCTAGCATTTAATGAATTATTTCGAAAGCAAATGATGAATCGGTTGCACATTTAATTCCATTTCAACATGGTTAAAGAAATAAATATTAGACTTACGCACAATCAGTTTATTGTACCTTGGGCGACTGGTTTCGAACCGGTTACTTAAATGCTAGAATTACAAATTGTGACTTCTTCTTTTTCAAGTGCCATCTCGGCGGAGGTCGGCAATCATCATAGCTATTCGGACTTTTAAGAGACGGCTGCTCTTTTATTATAGATCATAGCTATTCGGAAAAGTTCATTTGGTGTACATCGGTACCATGCTCTCAGGTTGCGCAGCCATGACATTCTACGCCTCCCTATGCTTCTCTTTCCTTGGATCTTTCCCTGCATAATCAGTTGGAGCAAGGTGTATTTCTCTCTACGTGTAATATATCCGAGATATTCTAATTTTCTTGTTTTTATTGTTAAAATTTCCATTTCTTTATTCATCCTTCCCAGAATCTCTTTGTTTGTGACGTGTTCTGTCCACGATATTTTCAGTATTCTTCTGTACACCCACAGCTCGAATGATTCCAGCTTTTTTATTGATGTCGCATTTAAGGTCCAAGATTCCACTCCATAAAATAAAGTCGAAAAAACATAGTTCCAGTTTTTTATCCCTGGTACATAGAACTCTTCTTATTTTGTTGAAATTGGCTCTAGCCTTTTCTATTCTTATTTTGATCTCCTGAATGTAATCATTTGTGGAGTTAATCATTGTTCCCAGATATGCATATTTGTCCACTTGTTCGACGTTGGTTCAGTTTATTAGAAGATTCTCGTTATTTCTTTGAGTTTTCGATAGTCTCATAAATTTCGTCTTCTTGACATTCATTGTTAGACCATACTAATTTCCATACTCTGCTATTCTGCTCACCAGTCTCTGAAGATCTTCAATGTTTTCGGCTAAGATCACAGTGTCGTCCGCATATCGAATGTTGTTAATGGGAACTCCATTTACCTTTATTCCAGCTGTTTCACCCTCAAGAGCTTTTTTCCGGATCTCGGAGTAGACATTAAAAAGAATTGGCGACAATACGCATCCCTGTCTCACTCCCCATCGAATTGTGACTATTGGGATTCTATTAGGTGTACTTATAAATTATGCCAATATGCATAATTTTAAAGAATATGTAAATTGTACTTAGATACCGATGGAATGAATTTAGTTATGTACAGACATACTTAACGTTCAACTAGAGAAACTAGTAGGAGGAATGTAAAATATTTATTTCTTTAACCTTATTTACTTTTCGCACTATTTGCACAACAGCAAAACTATAACTTTTACTTATAGATATAAGAGGAAATACAAGGAAGCTAATGCTGAACTACCCAAATTACGGAAAGAAGTCGACGATCTTCAGCAAAAACTAAGCCAAGTTCAGGGCGCTAATCAGGATAGTAAAGATGGAATTAAAAAAGAGGAGATTAAAGAAGAAGATATGTCAAGCAGTGAATGCTCTCAAATCAAAGAGGAGCCTAATCTTACTGTCAAAAAAGAAGAAGAAGATACAGAGGTAAGTTTGATTATTATTTATTGAATGTGTCTGTGATTTAGTGACAATCATAATGCCCCATTGTATAAGATTACTAGGAAACAAAAAAGAATATTTGTTTACTGTATGAAAGGAAGATTTAGGCTCTTTATAATCGCTGTAATTATCTATCAATGAATTTCTATTGTCGATAAAGCTTCCAAAACACGTAATTTGATTTATAGGTGTAGTATAGTATTGATTATAAAGGTGTTTACATTTCTTTATTCTGCCAAAATCACAATAAATTTATTTTACACTTCATTTGGTATTTGGAGAGAGTGATAAATTCCGATCATATATGGAAACCGCTTATTAAGTGAACAAAACACTTTTGTATATGTCCACGCGAAAAAAATAAGTTTTTGTAGATGTTTTCACGGTTATTACACGTGTTTAACAAATTATTTTTACTTAAGTGCTTCTATTATGTTAGTGTGGTATTTTTCCTTGCCAAAGAACCGTTCTCTTGAGCATACGTCCAATAAGGGTGATAATTGCGATGATATTTCCAATCTGACGCGTCCACGGCGAGCGGGTGTGTATCTATCAGTTTATCAGGCCGGGGAATAGAGTGTTCATTGTAAGTTTAGATTGAGACCAATATAATACTGGTATATAACACGGATCCCTGCCCAGTAATAAAGGTCAATACCACAACGTCGGCGACAGAGTAGAAAAAGATCTTCTATCATGAAAGCAAGAGGAGACTACTCAGACGTTTACTGGCTGATTTGGATTTTGACACACCACCAATATTTTTGTTTTTTTCAGTGTTAATTTTTATTAAGTATTCTTTGCAAAACCTCCGAACTGTCTACAATTACAACTGTGTCGTCGGCAAATCTTAAATTATTTATCAATATTCCTATGCTTTCGAGTGCGTTATGGAAGAATACAAAGCATGATGCTCAGTATACAATCTGACTCTACATTTAATTGGTATAGCTTTTTTTTTGGCTATTTTCAAACTGTACTGTCGCTATTTGATGTTCGTAGAGAACCTTTCCAGAATGTTGAATATTGTACTATCTTTAACAGTGAAATGCTTTAGCATAATCTTTGAAGCATAGATAAATTTCTTTTTGTTGGTCCCTGCACTTCTGCAGTAAAACTAATAGGGCAAACAAAGCTTGTCTAGTTCTCAATTCTTCTCGAAAACCCATCTCTAGTTCAGTCAGACCTTGCTCGCATTTTTTATGAATTCGATTATGTAGAATCTTTATAAATACTTTTAATACTTGACTTATTAAATTGAGCAATCGAAACTCATCACATCTTTTTGCTCTTGGTTTCTTAGGAATAGGGATAAATGTAGATTTTAGTCAATTTTGAGGAATATTTCCACTATTATAGATGGTTTTAAACAGTTTGACTAGCAATTTTGTTTTCGTTAATAAATTTAAGGAAATCTGGACAAATGTTGTCTGATCCAGCTAGATTGTCGTTTTTATAATCCCTTCATAGCTTTTTCTATTTGTGAAGTCATTACGATGTCTGATTTAGGCTACGAAAGGGGGTATCATTCATTAGCATCATTCTGGCTTTACGACCCTGCGTGGGTCCTAGCCTCCTCAAGAAATTCTCATGTCTTCATCCCAATGTTCCCATTTTTCTCATGTCTTCATCGATATTATTAAGTAACCTTGTATTGGGTCTTCCTCTTCTTCTCTGACCAAAGGGTCTATCAAGGAGCATTTCTCTAGCTGGGTCATTTTGCTCCATCCGCATTACATGTCCTATCCACCTCAGACGTCCTATCTAATAATATATGTTTTACGATATCAGGTATATTCTATAAAGTTCGAAGTTGTATCGTCTTCTCCACACTCCATTGTCATTCACTGCTCCATAGCCTTAGTACTTTTCTTTCGAAATATCCTAACATGTTTTCATTATTTTTTGTTAGAGTCGAGGTCTCTGAACCATATCTTAGGACTGGGAGGATATTGAACCCAAAATATTATCTGTTGACTGTTGACTCTGCAGTAATATCAATTTCAGTGTTAAGGAGCGCTCCCAGGTATACAAACTCGTTCACTGCTTTGATGACGTCGTTTTCTGTAACAAGTGGTCGTAGCATTTGTGGTTGCGTGCTTATTTTCATATACTTCGTTTGGTTGGTGTTTATAATTAAACCGATTTTTGTAGTTGATTCGTCTGCTAGATACGCCTCTCGTACAGCGTTTTCCGTTCTTCCGACAATATTAATATCATCAGCATAGGCAAGGATTTGCACTGATTTATTATATATTGAATCAGTGGCTGTGATTTGTGACATACGCATTACTTTTTTCAGTGCCAGATTGAACGGTATACAGGAGCGAGAATCTCCTTGGCGCAGTCAGTTATTATTAGTTTATAGTTAGTAGTAGTAGGTTTATAGTTTATTATAGTTTTATTAAATTTACCAACTGATTTGGTATTCCTAGCCTTTCATTACTTTGAATATTTCCCTTCTATTCACAGAGTCGTACTCTGCTTTGTAGTCTATACATATGTGATGAGTATCAATGCCATATTCCAGTGTTTTTCCAAAATTTGTTTCAGGGTTGCAATCTGATGAATTGTTGATTTACCGCCTCTGAAACCAGCCTGTCATTTTCCTACTATCCGTTCTGCATTTGGTGCCATACGGTGACATAGTACTCTGGAAAATATTTTATATGCTGCATTTGCATTTAGAAACGTAATTCCGCCGTGGTTAGAGCATTTAAAGTATATGTGAAATATAGGTTGTCCAAACTTCTTGTATCTCTTGTGTATCAAGGAGTATTGTATTGTCTTTACTATTTTTTAATATCTTGGGGATTTACGGTTTCTTGTGATTTCTTTAACTTTCTTGTTGGATTTCATGAGTACAATTGTTGAGATCAAAAGAATCAAAAGATAATACATCATTTTTTTTTGTCATTTTCTGTAGCAAGTTGAAGATGCGGAAGGAAACAAAGACCAAAATCCCGGCGCTAGCGATTCCCCTGGTGTTAAAAAAGAGGGTGCTCCTAAACAAGACAAAAATACAGTGAAAAAAGAAGTAGTTCCGAAAGCTGAGAAAGATCACAGAGAAGCCATGAAAGCGAAAGAAGCGAAAATTGCCGAGAATGAATTAGTCAGGGATTTAAAGAATCAACTTAAGTAAGTACTTGTAAGTATATTTTTAGGCGAGGTAATGAAGCAATATCCCTACCAATTTTTTTTAGTAGAATGGATCTCAATGAAACTTTTTGTATTCGATTCGAAAGTACATTTCGAAGTGATGAAATACGATAAATTTGTAAATCGGAAAGAATTGACGGAAATGAATTAAATGTTGCTACTAGGGGGTTTTTGGGGTCACTGAACATGAATATCATGATAGCGATGTTCTCCGAGGAACCTGGTGCACCTGGGCCTCGTCTGCTGGAGTTAGTGTGTGAGGCACTTTGTGCTCAGCAGAGGGCTGGTATTCTGGAGTTTGTGCATCGGAGACCATCTTCTTCTTCGGGTGTCATATCAGAATTATGCGACCTTGGCGATCGGAGACCATGACTGTTATGATATTCTTGATCAGCGACTCTAAAATCCTCCGAGTAAAGAGTTTGAACTGATTTTGTATTGAATTTTCACAAAACTGTTGGAGACAAAGTATGTCCTTGCACCAGGTGCGTCGCACATCATGGCCATGAGATTAGTGTTCCGCAACTTAAAAAACCCCGAGTAACGACTTTGGACTGATTTTGTATCGAATTTCCTCAAACATCCAGGAGACAAGGCCCGACCTGATCAGCAGGGGCATCGGAGACCATCACCGTTATGATATTCGTGATCAGCAATCCCAAAAACTCTCGAATAACAGGAGACGGGGACCATGTGCACTGGGTACGTCTGAGACAATCGCCGTAATCATTCGTGTTCAATGACCCCAAAAATCCCGGAGTAATAGTATTGCAATAATTTCCGTCAATTATTTCCGAATTAAAAATGTATCGTTTTTCATCACTTCAAAATAGTGTTGTCCAGTTTGGAAAATTCACTTTCCATTTGCTTTCCAAGAAAAAGTTTCATTGAGATTCATCGCACTGCAAAAATTTGGTAGGTTTTGGGCTTTGTACTGCTCCATCGCCTTGTCTATTTAGTGTGTTATGTTAAAATTGTAGAATTCTAAATAAGCTTTAGTAATTTCTAGCTCTACTATCTTAGCCCTTTAGTAATATATGATTTAGTGTAATACTTAAGCACATATTATTCTTTTTCTACATTCGTTTAGTAAAAAAGAATCTATATTTGAATATATAAAAGAATAATATTTGTGTGACAGAATATACGGTGTAGGTAAAAGTTTATGGTAGGTATGGTAAAATTTAACAGGATATCTAACACAGATATTAAATCATATTTTCAGCGATCAGACAAAGATAACAATCATATTTCCCCTTGCTCTCCCCTCCACATTTTTCATAGACGCCCATTAGTGAGACGATTAGTTCGGATCAGAGATATTTTACATATCTCTGGTTCCGATCACAGGTTCCGATCCAGCTTATACCTAAGCAATTAGAGGTGGGTCGTTGACATTTTTATCGTTAACGAAACTGAACCACTTTTCGTAACTAGTTGATTGTTTAAGGCCTATCCTCGATAATCCTAACGGTAAAATTCAGTGAGCTATCTATTTCAAAAATATCTTTCTTTACGAAAACAAAATCCATTCACGAAGAATATTCTAAACGTAATCTGGTACTAAATTTTATATTTTTACCTACTTACAACCCCTATTGTGAAGTCTTGGGTGTATACAATAAAGCGAGCGGGAGGTCTTCTATTCATTGCGATTATGGGGTAATTAGAATAATACGAGTATACCAGAATAATATTATTTATTGAATAATTAATTCACAACTTAGCAAGGGTACATACAGGTAACAAATAATCGTCCTGTAAATAATTCATAACAATTAAATCGAAGACAAACTTTTATAAAATTTTATAACAAAATAATGTATAACAAGATATAAGTGTATTGGTTTTTTTAAATCTTATATTTTCTTTTGTTATTGTTTTTTTGCTGACAAATTGGCTTTTAACGTATATTACAGTGTGATGATAAATATTCTGAAATGGAAAATAATGAGATGTGGCGAATAAAAACATTCATGAAATTAAAATGAAGGGATTTACGTCTATTAGTGGTGCGATTTATAAAATTAGTAGCTCAAATCGCGGGAGAAATATATGCATTAGTTTTCAAATATTTATTATTTCCGATATAATTTCTAAATTGAACCACTTTCACTTCTTTAGGTAACAATGTATCTGTCTTGACAACTAAATAGGTAATTAGACAAAATAATGATTATTATTAATTTCAAAACAGGAGTTTAAAGAATTAGAAGAAGGTAGTCCGGGCCCAGTTAAACAATCAAGTTTATTCCAGTGGAAGCAATCAGGAGGATTATTTTTCGTTTTGGCTCAGCTGACATGCTCTCTCTAGCAGTAGAACCCATGAAACTATGGTAAAAAGCATGCTTTTATTTACACGGTTGTGAAACGAGACGATTAACAGAGAAAAATTCTTAGAAAGATTTTTGAGATCGTAAATGAAAATGGAGTATGGCGTCTCAGAGACTTAGATGGGCTGGACACATTACTAGGATGTGAGATCACGAATACATGAAGAGATTAACATTTTCAAAACCAGAGGGCAGAAGAAGTTAAAAATGACCACGAAGAAGATGGATTGATAACGTGTCAGAAGCGGATTCTAAGGGTCAGAAGATGAAGGGAAGTGAAGGAATAATTTAGTCACGCTATCATTTCAAATTTTGATTTTTGATATTGAATTTGATAGGCTGTGGTTTATTACACCAAAATCTAATAAAATATAACATGACACAAGAAATAGTTTCAGAATACGTTTGCTGTGTTGTTTATTATCATTCAATAAGAGACTAATTTACTTATTATAATACTAATCTAACAGACAATTATTATTGTCAAATGAAAGAAATAAGATAATTTACTTGTGGTTAGTAAACAAGACGGCCCCATGCAACTAATTGTCAACAAACAACGGATTACAAAAGTTTAGATTTATGAGAAGTATTTATGAAACTTAGATGTATACTGAGTACTTATTTCAAACATTTACAACTAAGGATTTAATTTGTTATATGTAAATATACTGTATTACTATATGGATGTAAAACATGGATCATGAAGGATAGTATGATGGACAATTTAGGTTGTGACTCAGATATATGATAAAGTATGGCAAAGATGCCATAACTATAAATTAAGACTATATTTACCAAAACGATACTCTCAAATTATTGAATCCTGCATCTTGGAAAGATATTTCAGAATTAAACAGGAATATACATAAACGGAACTGAAAGAAATTACAGCAGGGCTGCCACAAAGAAGTCTCTTTTGTGTACCTTTTGTATACGTATTATATTATTGTCCTAGAAAATAATACAATTGAAACATTTACCGATGACACTTCTATCATAGCAATATGCAAAACCAGCCAGGAAGCGACAGAGAAATTACACAGATCTTTATCAAATATATACCTACTCCAGGGAAATAAGCAAAAAATAGACCATGTTCGTGACACTCAATAATCCAGGTCACTGACAACTTTTTTAGTTATTGTAGACCTATAGGAAGAAAACCTACTTGTTTCCTGCCTTGAATTTCGAGCCATTTTTTAATTATTAACAATTTAAGGAAAAAAACGCAATCTTTACTATGATTATTAATGATAATAGTGTTAAAAAAATAGATTTTTGGAAGAAAATTATTTTTTCACTATTTACATTTAATTGTTTAAACAAACTAGATTATGAATTAATTAATTAATATATAAACAAATTACATATTTGTAATGTACGTAGAAATAACATACAAATTAAAAAAGAATGATCAAAATCCATTGAGTAGAACCGGAGATATAGAACATTTTATTTTATTAGTTTGAAATTGTTTGTTCGGTATGGATTTGTACTCCATGAATTTGTAGGTTCTTCCTAATCACCATGTGAACTACATTTTTAAAATTCGTAGAAGGTCCTGTAAAGGTACAACATTTGTGCAAATTTTTTATCAAACAATACAAATCCCATTCTTTATCATGCCGTCAAAGAGGTTCCTTAATTATTATAATCAAATTAGCTGTGAATTAACAAAAAAACATGGCTAACTTTGGTCCAAATTAACCTAGGTCAATTTTTTTTATTTGAAAATGCGGGGAAAATACTAGCTTTTTGAATGTAAAAAAAGATTTCTTCTAAGGACAATGTTTTTAAAGTTCCAAATGTTTATAAACTAGATAATTTCAAAAATTTGGCATCAGGATTTTTGATTATGATAAATCATTTTTTTATCATTTTTTAATACATATTGATAGTATTTTTTGCTTTCATTTGTCGCCCACAGCATTACCCTATCTTTATTATTTTCTGTCTTATTTTATTGTAAAAAAAGACCTCTGGGATAAACAAATACAATAACTTTTATACTAATTAATATATCGGTTCCAAATTTTGATGGTTTGTTAAGTATCCCAATAGCCAACCTTCGCTGGAACTCTAAAGTAAAGTTGTTGTATTCAAAGTTTTTAACAAATATCAATTGTCACTTATTTTGCAGTTTGCAAAGCAAGAAATTGACTTTTCAACTTACAAAAATCAGCATTTTGAAGCTTTGTCAATATTCTAAAAAATGAAATTTTGTAATTTTATGTCAAGTATTTAGCTTTCTAATGGAGTGGAAAAAATCGCGTTTCTTGCATTACATAAAGTCATTAAAAAACGGCTCCGAACTTTAGGCAGGAAACAGGTAGGCTTAGTTCTTATATGTCTACAATAACTAAAATAGTTGTCAGCTACCTGGATTATTGATTGTCACGAGAAAATCCTTATTACTCTGGACTAACATGACTGGACAAGCAAGTGACGAAACAAACTTCATATATTATGTAAACTTTACTAACAAAAACGTTTAAAATAAATAGTCCAATAAATATAATTAATCAAATTCCATATTCAAATACTGCAAAATATTTGGGTATTACTCTGAGTTCATGTAAAGAAGAAAAGAAAATAATAATTCTGATTGAAATACAAAAAAATGTACTGACCGATTGACCAAAATTCTACTCTGTTTCTACATAATAAATTATAATATATAAACAAATACTGAAACAATAGTATTATTATAAAAACAGTATAAACATTTAGAAGGAAAATGTCACAAACAACAGAAAATATTTCTATTCATATAAAAATTTAATCAAATTATAGGTACTTACTGCTTATTTATATAAAATTTTCTCAATCGTCCTCGACTTTTTCGTCCGGAACATAACGTCTTCGCGAACTACCCATTTTAAAAACAACAAAACACACTGGTTTGTCAAAACTAGTCAAAAGTCGAAATAAGCCCTAATAATGTTATTAAACATTATTTATGACCCTCCTTCTTTCTTACCTACTCGTCGGCGAGAGTCCAAAAACTATCAACAAGGACAGCTTGTACTGACCGAGAGAGAGAGTACATTTAGCACAATTTAACATTTTTTAAATAGTTTATATGAAATAGCTGCTTTGTGTTACACTTTATGTTAAAAATAAAAACAGATTCAGAAAGTGGGTAAAATTCTGTAGTGCCCTATTTCAGAAAAAAAAAATTTACGTTTATTTTAACCAAAAATATTTAAAAATAAAATATTGTTTAAACAATTTATTAATTTACAACCAAATAGTGCACTAGAACTTTTTAAGACCTTTCATATAAAAAAAGAATCATCTCAATATCTGCCATAGTTTTTGCGTTATTTGATATAAACTTTTACATTGGAATTTAGTTATGCTCAGAATCGCGAGGAATGGCCTTAACAGTAGTTTCAAATAAGCGTATACATAAACAAACATATTGGCTATTATCATTTATGTGTCTATGTATTGAAGTGAAAGAAACTAACGAAAGATATATTTATTGTAACTTGTATTATAACTAATAAAAATAAATTAAACAATACAAATAGTAAATAGTAATTACATTTACATTACACAATATTATTAAATCACGTTAAGTTAGGATATACATGGCGATGGTTTTCCCACCACTGTAATGGACAGTTCCAATCTCCGTTCGAAATTTTTTTGTTTGCAATATATCATCAGACAAATACATGTCGACTTCTTTTATATCTCTCGATACAGGTGTATGTTTAGATGAGTCATGTCCAATTAATTCATCAAAAATACACCATGGACTCAAGTCATCTTTATCGGTTTCTTTTTCTTGTACTTGTTGATTTTCAATAGTACAATCTTATTTTTCTTTAATTATAGAAGTAACCAGCTTCTTTCTTTTGTTTTTTTACCTTAATTTTTATCAGAAAATCCCTGCATTTTAAATCATTATTTGTCATTTACGAATCTACGATTTCTCACTGGTAAGCCGACTAGTTGATGGTTGATAAAAAAAACTACGTTTTGTGTAGACGTAATCAGAGGTGCAACGAACACTTTACGTCGACGAGGACGATTAGTTGATATGAGAGACTACTACAAAACTGAAAATAACATGCGACTCTTTCGGGACAGTGGACAGTTGGGCTATGGGTTGACGTTGAAAATAAAATAACTAGGTATTCTAGTTTGTTCATACGTTAAATTTATTGGTGGGACAGCTCTTAAATGCTGTCGTGTAGAAATAGATAAAATAAAATGTATATTCTTCGACATTTCGGTAAAAAACACATTTAAAAAAAAATACCTTATCTTCAGAAAGGCTTTTAAAGTATCAATTACAACATAACAGCGTTCTCAAATGGCCAATCCAAGACGTGGAAACTAGGTAGAACTTCACCTATTACATGTTAAAAAGAATGACCGACTTAGAAGAGGCAATCCGTTCCACATTGGTATTAGTTAATACAGACTTAGAACAAATCTAAATAATGAAGACTGGATTATTTGTTCTCAACTTTCCCAAATTTTACGGCATTTTAAAGAAATAACAAGTACAATGAGTGGCCAAAAATACTTGAAGAGTAGTTCAGTGATTGTTATGGTACGCTGCCTGAAAGAATCTTGCAATAAAATTTTAGAAAACGGTAACCTTACATCCATAGTATCCGACGTAGTACAATTACTAATATCGGGTTTAGCAAAAAGATTTTGAGGGATAGAACAGAGTGGCACATTGTCATTATGTACATTTATGGATTCACGATTTAAAGTGCAGGGATTTTCTGATAAAAATGAAGCTAAAAAAAAACAAAAGAAGCTGGTTACTTCTATAATTAAACAAAAAGAAGATTGTACTATTGAAAATCAGCCAGTACAAGAAAAAGAAACCGATAAAGATGACTTAAGTCCATGGTGTATTTTTGATCAATTAATTGGACATGAACGTACACCTGTATCGAGAGTCCATTACAGTGGTGGAAAAACTTTCGCCAAGTTTATCCTAACTTAACCACTATATTCATAAAATATTGTAATTGTGAACACATGTTCAAAATCTAGTTTAATTTTAAATAAAAGAAGAACTCAGTTAACAAGAAGTAAAGTAGAAAAACTTATGTTTTTAAATGTCAATTTAGACGATTCGCGATTTAATAATGTGTAATGTAAATGTAAGTACGATTTACTATTTGTATTGTTTAGTTTATTTTTCAAGTTATAATAAATATATCCTTCCTTAGTTCCTTTCAATAAATATACACATAAACGATTATAGCCATTATGTTTATTTATGTACTGTCTTACTTGAAACTACTGTTAAACAATCAACTAGTTACTTGTTTACGAAAAACGGTTTAGTTGCGTTAACGATAAAAACGTCAACGACCCACCTCTACTCGTTACCACGAATAATAAATTTGATTATCTTAGAACATTGTTCAAATGCTAAAAAGACAACAGGTCAAATAAAACCAATAAGTTTGGCAACGTTGAACTTCCCTTTTTTTATTATTTCCACTAATGCATTTTCGGCGATATAAAGGGCGGACCTAATATATCTCTCTCTTTTTAAACAGGTATTTCTCACTCCATCTCACGTAAGGTCCATACCGACCATAAACTTTTACCTACACTGTATAGGAAAAAAGATTTGTTGCATTAATAATGCTAATAAAAATTGTTTTGAAAAATTTTAGGAAAGCGTTGAATGAACAAAAGGAGATGAAGCTGCTTTTGGACATGTACAAAGGTGTCAGCAAAGAGCAGAGGGACAAGGTGCAATTGATGGCAGCTGAGAAGAAATTGAGAACCGATTTGGATGAGCTCCGGCAGACGATGAAAAAGTTGCAGGTGGTTAAAATTAATTATATTTCTATTATAAGTATTATTTACATATTTTCATAAAAAGTTTTATATATTTGGGTTGAAAACAAGTTCGAGACCTCTACTCAAACAGAAGTAAAAATTGATTTAATTTTATTTAAGTTATATTTAACAAAGGTTCCTGTTAATGTTGCAAATTTCGTTTTAATGCAGTTTTTGACGTTACCAGAAAAATTGGATATTAGCCCTAGCAAAATATAGGCGTTAGGTTTAGTTTTTAAGAGGTGTAACACTTTCAATAAACTTTTCACAAGAATAGAGTTTATATGAAAAAAATCATGGATATCTGATTTCTTCAACTAAATACCTCTCTAATGAAGTGCCACACGTGGTATATTCCCCATTTAAACTTAAAAGTATGTGGTACTGGAATGTAGGAGATTGACAAATGGCAGATGTCTATCACGTTAAAAGATGTTCCATTTGGAATAAAAATTGACCTGTTTATTGAAGGAAAATCGCGTATTATTGTGTACTCGATATGAAAAAAGAAGATTAGCTGACAAGCCACTATTTTTTAAAGTAATTGCTATTTAAATGGGAATAAGCCACATTTAAAGGTTACAATACGTTTATTGACGTTTCAATTTCCACTTCGGAAATCGTTCTCAAAACACAAACAGTAAACTAAACAAATTTTGTTTTTTGTTACTTAGTGAAAAATTCTTCCAACAATTTAATTTTATCTGACTCATTTATATTGACAATTCAGACATACATTATACATTTTAAAGTAGACGACTTTAATTGATGGATTCGACCGTTACTTGATGGAAATTCATTTTATGTAACAATAAAACACTGAAAACTTTTCAGTGTTTTAATTGTTACATAGACGACTTTAAAATGTATTGCCAATGTTGTTGAGTTGCGCTCCTGGGACGACTTTACTTATAAGATAGTTCATTCGATTACATGAAATCAACTTTAACTTGAGAATATCCGTCAGAAAAATAGGATAATCATTTTTTAATAAAACAGATGTTAACAAATGTTTCTCCTCCAACAACGAATGAACGAATTTCTTTTTTTTTTCTTGTTTATTTTTCTGGCGGATATTCTCAAGTTAAAGTTGATTTCATGTAACCGAATGAACTAACTATCTTATAAGTAAAGTAGTCCCAGGAGCGCAACTCAACAATATTGGCAATATCATTTAAAAGTCGTCTACTTTAAAATGTATAATGTATGCCTGAATTGTCAATATAAATGAGTCAGATAAAATTAAATTGTTAGAAAAATTTTTCACTATGTAACAAAAAACAAAATTTGTTTATTTACTGTTTGTATTTTGAGAACGATTTCCGAAGTGGAAATTGAAACGTCAATAAACGTATTTTAACCTTTAATTGTGGCCTATTCCGATTTAAATAATAATTACTTTAAAATGCCACAAGAAAATAGCTTCAGAACAATACTAAGAAAAAATTTCAGCGTTTGGTATGACCCAATATCTCATGTGACGAGATCATAAGAAAACATCATAAACAGACAACGGTTACAGATCGATTTCGTCAAACTATTGTCCTTATTTCAATCCTCAACAGCCTAAATTATTTCTCCTTCTTCTTTTCTTCTTAATTTTATATGGACATGACACTGTCTGTTTTTCAATGTGCCCCCGGTAAGTTGTCGTTCCATCGTTTTCGTGGTCTTCCTACTGACCGTCTTCCTATTGGGGAACCCTCTCTTGCCGTCTTTTCTACTCTATTTGTTGTCATTCGGCTTATATGAACGTTCTATTCTACTCTTTTATTTCTTACCTACTTTTTGATGTTCTCCACCTTACATCTACGTCGTATATATGTACTTCTAGCTCTGTCCCATAGTGTCTTACCATCAATTGTTCTAACTGTTTTCATCTCTGCTATTTCTAACATCCTTTTTGTTCTCCCTGTGTCAGGTCTTGTTTCTGCCACCTATGTCATTATTGGTCTGATGACTGTTTTGTAAATTCTGCCTTTCATTTCTTACCCGATATTTTTATTTCTCCAAATTGTTTCATTCAAGCAGGCTTTGTTTGCTCTATTCACTTGATCTCCCACTTCAGTTTCGAGTTTTTCGTAGATAGATAATGAGATGCCTAGACATTTAAACTATATCACTTGTTCTATTATCTGACCTTCCAGCTCCAATTTACATCTTAGGCGCTGGTTTCTCTGAACACACGTCAGCGGCGACGGACAACGGCTGCCGTCAACGTTTGAATGCTATGCCTAAAAGTGTATGCATTTGGTTTCTCAGACACGCCAGCGGTCACGGCTAGCGTCGACGGTTGGCGTTTACCCGCTGCGTATGTCCGTTCATTTGATTTCGAAGCATTACAGCGGGTGGACGTTATGACGGACAAAAGCAAAATGAAAAAAGAACAAGATGAAATACATACAAATAATGTAATAATTAATTTAAACATAATTTTTAATTATAACAATTATACAACGTGATACTGCCAAGTAACCGTTCCAGATGGCGAACACAAGTAATCTTTTATTTTGATCAGTATTTTGGAAAATAGGTAGCAAGTAAATGATCAGTTGTTTGAAAAAATTTTAACGCAGACAGAAACTGTACCAGAAAAATCTACTATTCATAAATTTTTCGAGTCCATGGCTGTTACTGTTTCAAATTTTACATCACATATTATTGCTGAAATTAGGTTACAAGTTTGTAAAATAATAATAGAGATGGAACTGAAAATTAATAACGAACAGTAGCTGTTTTTGTGATAGACGAAAATAATGTATGAATTTTTTATTATCACATTTAAGATGTGTATGAATTAAGTTACTAAATATCCTTTCATTCTCTCTATTTTTAAATATATTGTGGGTCTGTCTTCTTTTCTTTAAATTTCTAATTATTAGTTCAATATCTTCCTCTTCTTCAAGTAACAGTTTCATCAGCATTTTTTTCATTATCATTTTTATTATTCATAAAGTTGTTTGTATTTTTAATCTAACCTAATAATCGACGTCTATACCTATTGATATCTACCAGCAAACTAACTAATTCTAGAGAAACCATTAAACCGTTACCGACGACGTGTGGACGTTAGCCGCAACGTCCAAGCGTCTACGACCGCGGCTTACGTCTGTTCAGAGAAACCAGCGCCTTAGTAAATTTCCTGTTGTTACCATGCATTTTGTCTTTTTTGGGGAAATTAACATGTTAAATTTTCTAGTGGTTATATTAAATTGTTGTGTAAATTATCTTCACTTTGAGAGAGCAGTATTGCGTCGTCTGCATAGCAGATTATTCCTAGAGGTATCTCCTCTTGCATACAATAAGTAGATAAAGTCTTTTAATTTGACCCGGTCTTCGACCCAATAAATGCCTTCTTAAGTTCCTCGAAACATATATATGTCGGTTTGTTGTATTCTAGTGATTTCTCTTGCAGTTGCCTCATTATAAATATAGCGTTGGTGCATGATCTTTCCGACCTAAAACCTTGTTGTTCTTCTGCTAGTGTTATAATTTCATTTAGTTTATTTGTTATCACATTGGTTGTTAATTTTAGTGTTGTGTTTAATCAATTAATTTCTCTGTAATTTTCTGGGTCCAATTTGTCTCCCTTTTTGCAGAGGTGTATTAGGATGCTTGATCTCCATTATTGAGGAATTCTGTTTTGTCCTATTCTTTTTTTGATTAGTTTTAATAGTTGTTTGGTCAGATCTGTTCCTCCGTACTTTAGGAGTTCGTTCGGTATTCTGTCCTCTCCTGGTGATTTTCTATTTTTTAATTTCGTTAATGCTTCCTTTACTTGTTCCTACTCGATATTTATTTCTTCGTTTGTCGTCACCTCTGGTATTGGTGGTTCATTATCGTCACCTTCAGCAAATAGGGATCGAAAGTAGTCTACCCATGTTTCCTTCTGAATGTGTTTCGTTTCTTTATCTCTTTTCTTTGTCCTCTGATCATTCTTTATTATTTTTTTTTGGCACAGTATTGGCAATATCATTTTAAAGGCGTCAGCTTTAAAATGTATAATGTATGTCTGAATTGTCAATATAAATGAGTCAGATAAAATTAAATTGTTGGAAGAATTTTTCACTAAGTAACAAAAAACAAAATTTGTTTAATTTACTAATGTTTGTGTTTTGAGAACGATTTCCGAAGTGGAAATTGAAACGTCAATAAACGTATTTTAACCTTTAATTGTGGCTTATTCCCATTTAAATAGCAATTACTTTAAAATGCCACAAGAAAATAACTTCAGAACAATACTATTTTTTTAATAAATAACGTAACAATATTTCAATGAACACAACGAATGCAGCGATGGAAATAGAGCATATGGTTCTTCTTTTGTTTTCATTGTTTCTTTTATTCGTTTTTTCTAATGCTTTATAATTAAATAAAATTTAACAGTCCAGTCGTCCATGATTTGACCCCTAAAAATCATACGACCAAGCTGAATTTTACCCAGAATATCAATTTTGGGACCCCAAAAATATGCAAAAAAGTTTACCACTTTTACCCTCGGGCTTCGCCCTAAAACTCCCCTCTCAGAGAGGTAAATACTCAAAAAAAAAATGATTTAACAAGAACCTGAGATGATTCTAAACAAAAATGTTAATTTACCACTTTTTCCGTAGAATGAAACGTTCTCTCAGAAACAACGAAATTCGACGAAGATGTTTTTGAGTGTAATTTGTAGCAGAACCTATGTAGTTTTGAAAAACGTACTAGTGTAATTGAAAACGAGCAGCTGTAAATATTTTACATAGTTTGTAATGTGAAAGTATAAATTCAGCGTTTTTTAAGCATATTTCAAATGCCTCACATTTGTTGCCAAAACTCAAAACTAAAATTTCATATTATAAGTTTTAAAGGTTAGGCTCCAGTTATCGAAACTCCACAGTGGCCGGTTAATAAAAGGAATAAATTGTATTGATTTCATGAGAATCATAAAAATTCTTAAAATTCGTGCCATGTTTATTTATTTTACTCCTTTATACAAACTCAGTTTATTTGCGACAAAATACAAAAAGTTCAGTCTACACAAAAAGTACTAATAAACATTTTTGTTCAAAATTATCTTAGCTACATTTTTTATTTGAAATATTTTTTCTGTGGTGTACAGATTATTCGTAAATCGATTTTTTTCCGTTTTCCCCCCTCTACGAGAGGAGTTTTAGGAGAAATCCCGAGGGTAAAAGTGGTAAACTTTTATGCATCTTTTTTTTGGCGTCCTAAAATTGACATTCTCAGCAAAATTCAGCTTGTTCGTATGATTTGTAGAGGTAAGTGTCATTTTCGTCTCTGACGACTGGAGTATAAGTATATAATATGAAAAACTGAGTAAAATATTTATAAACCCTGTTTAAATAAGTTGAACAAATTGTATACAATGTGCAGGATATCAAGAGAGACGATAAGAGAAAACTGGCCGAAGACGAAGCTCTAAAGAAGATCAAGCAATTGGAAGAACAGAAATACGAACTTCAGAAACAAGTTGCAAACCAAAAACCAAGCGACGGTAACTGGGGCGGTCACAATGTTCATCAAAGACCTTTCGTCGGATCGTTGGAGGAAGAAGCTCTTTTGAACGAGATGGAAGTCACTGGGCAAGCTTTCGAGGATATGCAGGTAAACGAATATGCTTTCTTGATATTTATATTTAGTATAGTTCGTAGATTTATTTTCAATAGCTATTTAAATACACTTTAGCCCTTTAACGGGCAAAACATTGTATTTTTATAATAACTGTGTTTTGGGGGATTAAATTTAAAAAAATTGGTAACCACAGCATCATTTTGGGCGTAGTTTTTTAGTTTTGTGGAGGTACATATACAGGGCAATTGATTAGTGTGATAAAGCTCAGTAGATCCGATATAATAAAAGATAGCAATACGATATACGAATAATAAGATAAGTTAATAGTAAAAATTGTAGACAACTTTGAGGAACACATTACAAAATTAGTTAGAATATTACAGTATTTTTTTTTTATATTCGAATTCTTGCTTAAGGAGTTATGGGGGTTTTTCTTTAGAGTAGTGATAATTCTCCATGCCTCCGTAGTCTGAAAACCACCAATTAAATTTTCAACTTACACACATTTTTGTTCCCAGAAATTGTTTTCTGCTTCTTTTATTTGATTATTTGATTGCGTACTTCTCCGTTTTTCCTTTGATAAGTTACTCTATTGCTAGATGTTTTATTTGTTAGCCATTTCTTATATATTTTGATTTTTTCTTGTATCATTTCTTTTACGTTTTCTGTCATCCATGGTGGTTCGTAGTGTTTTTTGTCATTGTTCTCTGTTCCTAATACTTCATAAGCATTTTTTTATTATCGTTTTGAAGTTGTTGTATTCTTGTTCTACATTCATATTTCTTTCCATCTCATTTAGTTCCACATAGTTGCACACAGTAAAACTATAGGGTCGCTGAATGTGTGAGGAGGTGTTGTTGGTAACCACGTCGTGGAACAATATTTTTCTGAAGAAAATCTAAATGGTGGGATGTGTTTTTTAGTAAATCAATTACACAGTGTACGTAAAAAAATGTGGTTTTTGCCTGACGGTGCTCCTGTTTACCATACTGCAGTCTTGATTCAAGGTGAATTTGATGATCAGTTTCCTGATAGTTGGATTTGAAGACATGGACTTATTTTGTTGGAGTTACGTTAAGAATGAAGTTTATAAAATATCTTCAACAACAAGGGATGAGATGAAAAATAGAATACCAAATTTAATTCGTAGTTTTACTGTACAAATGATTTGTAATGTAAGTGACTCATTCAGTGATCGTTTCCAAGCGTGTATAAATACTTTTGGAGGTTATTTTGAACACCTTATATAATAAAATATTAAAAATATTTTATTAAAACTAGTTTTTCATTTTTAAAAAGAAGTTTTTTTAAGTATTGTTGTTACAAGTAGTTGTATCTTGTGTTTGTTTTTTTTATAATATTTATTAATAATATTTATTTTCTTTATTTGGTAAATTAATTACCGGATTAATAATTAGTAATAATTAGTAATGGTAAATGGTCAGCTTGTAACGTTATAAACGTCACATCTCTATTAATTTATATTTTAATAATTATTTCATTTTAATTTCTTTATTAATTTGTTTATCTTCAGTTAATTTTTACTATCTTTTTTATTTAAAAAGTAGTTGGCGCCCTCTCTGTCCCTCTATATTTCTTTCCCTGTTTTCATTTCTTCCTCTGTCATTGTTTCCTCTCTCTTTCTGTCACGTAGAATAAATATTCGCCCTCTCTCTTTGTGTTCTGTGTTGACAGACAAGTTAGTTTCATGAAATAGCAACATCCTATGACATCTGTGCTAACTTCAAGCAGTTTCCCACTTTCCGTCGAAACAACTTCTAACGTGGGGGGATTATTTTTTGTCTGATTTTGACTTTATAAAAGAAGGCAAAAATAATAATTAGACTCATTTTATGGTCTACAAATTCTCTTGGGTTTATCGGGAATATACCGTTTCATTAGGAATATTTAAAGCTTTTATCAGCAATATACCATTTTATTGGGAATATTCACAATTTGATTGGAAATATCTACATTTTACTGGGATTATTGATCACATAAAACCATAGGACCACGTGTAACTGCAGCTCTCCAACCTACAACATTCCATTGGAGGACCTAGCAGCTAGGACACACAAGTAACCATCGAACAAAGCAATAAGTATTTCATTAATTGTTAAGCTTTGGCAGGGTCAATTATTGTGTTTTTTTTTTCTTTTAAAAAAATATGTTTGGTTAAAATTTGTTTTATTTGCTATCAACTGAGAGGTTCAATCGCTATTTTAAGACAAGACGAACTCACCCTTGAGATACTGAGTTAGGCAAGGTATAGACGATAAGCTCCCATGGTTGATTGAAGTATTATATTCACAATATTACTTCAATTCTCTTTGGTAGTCTTATCGTTACAAGCTTTAGACAATTTAGTCATGGCTGACTTAAAATTCGTAAAATTTAGATACCTAATTAATAATTTGCTTTTAAGGGGACAGTCTCATGCGATTAAAAAAAAAGAGACACATTTTAAAATTAAAGCAGAAAAAAAACTATAATATTTATTAACATAATTCCTTTTGGAGATGATTAAGTAAGTCTTGAAGTACATAAAAAAATTTTTAATAGCGATTTTAACTTCATTGGTGTCCTGTAGATGGCGTGTAGTAAAAAGTGCGTTTTTGGTGGTAAGACACTTTGTGGGTCACCTGTAACAGATATTCAAAAAATTCAAAATGGGTTGTATTCGTAAGACTCAAAACTAGATGATAAACCTTTAAAATATGCAAATTGTATTATTTTGAAGAGTTTATACGAGTTTTTTCAAAAAAGTCGAAAAATCGCTATGTTTTTCGGTGGATTTACCCATATATAATAAAAACGGGGGGTGGTTTTTAAATATTTTAAAGGTTTATCATCTAGTATTTTGTATATACATTCGAAAAATTTTTGGTTTTTTAAAATCGGTTAAGAAGGTTCGGAGAAAAGTATCTGACCAGTTTGAAAATGTTACTTTTGAGAAAAAAGCATTTAAAGTTTTTTTTACATAATTTTCGTGAATTAAAGGCTGATAACTTTATACTCACGTTTAATCGGCCATTCCTGGTGAATATTGATGTCCCTCTTCATCCAACAGTTGTTGTAAATGGCTTTGTAAAGCTTTTTTCTTTTTGAATTGATGTTTTATAATTAATTCATTATGTAGTTCGACTGGAGTCTCAATTCACGCCGCGATGCTGACAGTGTAAGTGTAAAAACGGAACACACCTAGATCGCATGTCAATTTAACGAAAACGTATCTACTTATTTATAAATGTAGATATGAAAATATTTTATAACTAAAAAAATGGTTATGTTTTATTGCCAAAACGGCGTGAAAAAAAGTTGATTTCTAAAATTAAAAATAAAAAGGAATTTTAAAAATAAAATAATTATATTACACTCTTTTTAATTTAAAATTATAAACAATATTTGGAGTAATAAATGTATTTAAGTATAAATTTTATAACTTAAATAATACCTAATGAACACAAACAAAATTGATGTTAATAAAACATTATTTATTATCTGCACAAAACCGGACTTTCAGGAAAAATCGGTAGACAAAGCAACACTATCGGCATGCCATATACGCTACTACAAACCGCTGAGAAGAAGTAATAGTAATCCAGTGGAACAAATAAATTAGTAATAAAACATCGCGACGTTATAAAGAAATTTACACTGGTTAATTGCAACGCAGAGAATCTTAGTATTTTTGTAAAAAATCCTATGTTCCGGATTTTAAATTCCAAATGTGTATAGTAACTGCCAAACGTTATACAGATATACATACTATATAAAAATAAACTAATACATACCCAACGTATATACAACATATATACAAAAGCAAGTACAGCTGGAGCCTCGCGCTCGCCGCGCGGAGAGAAACCGGAAAAAATACGTGCGTATCTGACGTTAATAAAATAACTATAACTTATATTCTACTGGGAATTTCTTTTTAAAATGTTAGGAGAGAGTTTTTGAATGTAAATGGAAGCAATTTATGTAAAAAATTTTTTTTTGATTTTTTGAAAGTTTCGCATGAGACTGTCCCCTTAAAAATGATAATAAATCTAGGCATAGGGAATATTAAATAAAAATTTTAGTATGGTAATGGTTCTTTCCGCTAGTGATATAAAATACAGGGTGTCCTATTTAAAAATAGTTAGAGTTTGGTCTAACACTATGTTATCGAACACCTTGTAACACTCTAACTAATTTTATAATATGAACCTCCCAGTTGCCTACAATTTTTGTTTTTAACTTTTATTGCTATCTATTATTATAATGGACCCTGAATGTTCTCATTGAGCGTTCCCAGAAAAAAAATTGTAAAAGTTTAGTAGAACATATTTATACCATTTCTAAGATATCTCATTTTTATGGAAAAAATAACAAGAAATATGGCAGCATCTTCTCCTAGTTCCTTTCATAGGTATATGTTTTCCACATCGCGTAACCTTTTTTCGTCAAAAAGAGTAGATCTAGCTTCCCGATTATTCCTTTTCTTGCTTTAGAACACCATGAATAGAAATCAATTAGTTCTGGTGCTAATAAAGCCTAAAATTTAAATGTGACAAGGGAACTTCCCGTAAACAGGATTATCGTAACGTTCTTTGTTATAATAGATATGATTTGACTACTGTTTATTCCAGACAATAATAAAAAATTCTCATTCAACACTTGCTTCTCCAAGAAATGCTGTAAGGAGATAGTAGTTGATCCGTGTAATCTACTCCGTCCATACATTTATTATAATCAAAGAATAAATTGTTCACAGAACTGCAACTTTAAAATATTAAATACGTATTGGATATTTAAAGCAATAAATATTAAAGTTAAACTTAAAGTTAAAAAAGTAAGGAAAATAATTTTAAAACTTTAAAAATGGACATTGGTAGATATATGTACAACTTTTTTAAACAAAAAAATCATCTCGGAATATCAATGGAGTTTCGAATATAATCATACCCTATTGAGAAAACATTTTGATTTTGTTTATTAACAATATACAAGTATTAAGTTAGAGAAAACAGCAAGTGGCACAAATATTTACC